GTGATGCCTTCTTTCCTTGAAGCCCCTGTGTGCTGTTAGGCCCTGTCAGAGTGGGCACATACACTCACACAAAAACAACAAAGTCATGTGACAAAGAAAACTATAATGTGAGCTTATTCCATGTTAATTGTGGAGAAAACAAGAATTGAAGGAAAGCTTCAAGCGCACACAAAATCATACAGCCGGAACAATGGAAATAATTTAAATAAAAATGTGCTGCTTTTGGGAGAATTAAATGAAAACTTTTCTGAAGCACTGAGGGGATCAGCAAAAGACACAAAATGAACTGTGTTAGACAGACTATGCTGTTTAATTAGACAGAACAGTGGACAGGGACCAGGCGCGTCTCACCCGTGGGTGTTGTGGGACTAATCAAAAAACACTGTAAAAGATAAGGAAACGCAAGCACGGGCAGAATACAAAGAAAGAAGTGCTGCGAAAATCACTTCAAATTCAATTAAGTATGACTACAACTGTATTGGAATCAATGATAGCAATACTGGTAGTTTCATAGTTAGGCAGGTATTACGTTCTTTATCAACTTAATTCAGCCTTTTAACACGTTTACATTTGTCATTCGACTCTAAAAATAAAGTATAGTAGCAGCTGGGCTTCATGTCATGGTCATACAATGTTGGACAAATTACATTTTAATTGAATGATAATCGGGGTTATAACAACTGATCTTAAAAAAAGAGTAATAAACTTTAACCTTGCCGGATGAAAAGTGAGAAGACCAATTTGAAATGGAGTTATCCTTTAGGAAACTGAATACCTGTGCAAAATTGAATAATAATCCACCCAGTTGGCTAAGAAAAAAACACTGATATAAAAAAAATAGGAAATATATTTTATGTAAAACCAATGAAGGAAAGATAGTTGTGCTGAATGATGTATCATTTTCCCAGTGAATTTGCCATGTGCGCATATCGAAGGACATGAGGTGCCAATCATGTGAACTGAAACATGTCATGCTGCCTCTTTATTTGTTGTTTGATGCAAAGCAGAAACTGCCAGTTTTCTCGTTTCTCATGACTTACGTTGTTTTCCCTGCATGTAAATGTAGGTATACAGGACACTGCTGTCATCACATACCCGGTTAGGACAAATTTGTAGTCCCACTATCAGCAGCATCAGCCACACCGTGGCCAACATATACAGACCGTAAGCAGAGCAGATGTGCTGCTGATTGTTTACTTTTTGCGGCTACACCTGCCCCGCATACAGTGAATGGAGTCATGCCAACTAAACTTTGAACATCCTTAAAAATGGTTGGTGACATAAAACAATTGCAAGCTCAAAGATCTGTTGTCAAATTTAAGATGACATGTCGCTCCTCCTGTTCTCTCTCTCTCTCTGTGAGTCGCTTTCAGAGGGCTGGACTAAGTGTGTGATAATAATAATAATAATAATAACTTTATTCATATAGCACCTTTTAAAAACACAGGTTTACAAAGTGCTTTGACAAACAGCAAGAACAAAGCAAACTAAACACAGAAAAACATTAACAACAGTAAGAATATAACAGATGCAAAATACCAAAAATAATTAAAAACAATTCAACAGAAAAGAACCCAAAGTGCACGATACACAACCAGACATATATAACCCAACCATCATAAGAACCATCATAAGAACCCAGGAACACAAGAACCCAACAACATGAGCTGAGACCAAGAGGACCAAAGATTTAAAAAGATGTAAGAAACTAAGAGATAAAAGCAAATAAAAAGCAATGAGAAGGTAAGCGCAGTAAAGGAAATAAAAACAAGTGGTTAAAGGATCAAAAAACCCAAAACTATAATATTAATAAAAATAAAAATTAACTATAAATACGAAACATAAATAGACAAAGTAAGTAAGATAAGAAATTACCAAGTTAAAACACAAGAGGAGATTAAGATATGAGCATGATGAGAGTAGGAGGGGGGGTAAGACCCAAAGACCCAAATAATTAAATGTATGATTCTTTGATTGGAATTTAATCACTGAAATTCGATTCATTTCGGGGGCCTGCAATTTTATTGTGATAGGCTTTATGATCCTAGCTGATATTGTGTTCTCGTCTAATGAATTGATAAAATTATGATTTTATATAACAGACAAAGTAGAAGTGCAGATAAAGCGGGAAACAAAGAATCAAAGATATAAAGGTGCCTCGTGTGTTTCCTCCAGCATCATTAACATCATGCTTTTAAAACCAGAATCTGAGATCAGAGGAGGGAACTCACTCTTAGTCCATCTCCTCTCAGCTCACTTGCTCCTTTACCATTCTTTTATTCATTCAAGTACTCTCTACTCTTTCTCCCCACAGCCCTCAGTCTCCCTGCTGGCCCCATCTTAGCTTTTAATTTAGCACTCTTCGTACTCAGGTGGGAGAGTGCTACAGTGAGAGAACTGGTTAAAATATATATTTCCCATGTGACAGTTACTGAGCAGACATTTGTAGCCCCAGCTCTGCTAGTTGTTCTCCTGAGGTCCTTCCAGCTGTTCCTTTCAGCTGCTCAGGTCATTTGGTCCAGCATTTTTTTTTATTGTACGGGGAGCCATTGTGTCATCTCTTAGCGGCTCGTCCTCTGGGCAGTGTGTAAATCGATCTGACTGATGGCAACGATGTGTGTCCCTGTGTGCGAGTGTGGTGGTTTTGTGTGTCTATTTAGGACTTAGTGTTGGGGAGGTGTCATTGGTCTATATTTACCAACTTAAGAATGAGAGAGCATTGTGTTGTCCACATTCTTGCCACTGAAGGACACTTGGTGCTCAGGGTCACCCTCATCGCTTCATCAACAGAGGCACAGAGAGAGGAGAGAGCGAGCTTACATACAGAGCCAGAAAGTGAGAGGAGACGCTGAGAGGTGAGACAGCTCAGATTGTGTCAGATCTTCAAGGAGAGAGAGAGAGAGAGAGACAGGTAGGGACAAAAGGAAGTGGGATATTTCCGTCTGGGAGATCTTCGATACCCAGAGGGCTTCATCTGTCTCTTTAAAGGAAGTGTGAGTGGGATTTTCTTCACACAGCCTTCATCTAAAGCTAGAAAAAAACAAGTGTTGTTTAAGACAGGTTACAGATGCATTAGAGTAAATGATAACCCTCAAATATGATTTAAAACCGCAACACTATGCTGGAACTTCAAAGCCCTATAACATGTCTCCATTGTACATCTGAATAATAGTGTTAATTCTTACTCTGTCTTTGCTTTGTCACACAGATTTCTTTTAGCTTGCTGTGTCTCTCTTTAGTAATTTCTTGCTTTTTTAAGCTAGTTGAACTCTTAACAGTCTTGATGTTGCTGTTAATTATTCATACAGGCGGCAAGAAGAAGCTCCTGTACTTTTTTGACAACGTATTTGCCTCAAACGGTAGAGTAAATAATCTTCCATTTAATTCTGCGTTTGATTTGTTCGTTTTTTCTCCATGATAGGAGACATGAGCTCCCAATTTCACTCCAGAGACTGGGAAACTGCACTGTGTGTACAAAACAGCAGTAATTTGCTTTTCAGAGGCGAATGATTCATACTCACCAACAGTGACAGATCCATTTTAATACTCCAGTGGCTGCCCTTGATTCACAGTTTTCAAACAGAGCACAACAGTGAGTGACAAAAAGAGCAAGCGGGGAGTCGAGCTTTCCTACTAGCCTGTTAGCTAGCTTACTGAGTAATTGAAGCAGATGAGTAGAAACAAATAATTAAGCTTATTTTTGTCACTTACACAGGTTGTTGCTATTGGGATTGCGTGAACGGAGCCTTCACTCAGTGCACAACCTGATTCTGTTCGGTTAGGTTAGGTGCGTTCTGCATCTACTGCCCCAGAGCGGTCGCATGATTAATGATGGGCACGGCGTGGGCAGCAGCATGGGAGACCCCGACTGATGAATTGTTAGAGCCTTAGCAACCCACAAAGGGGTGATTCATTTCAGGTGGGACTAAAAAACACTTTTTTTCCCCCACACAAAGAACCAAACTGGACATGCACAGTAGTTATCACTTGTAGTGTTAGACTTACATATGCACTTTAAACATGGCTTTTAAGATTCAAGTGAATCACATAAAGGGCTGCGACAACAAAAACTTTTCAATCCAGTTGGGTAGGAAAAGGCAAACATTTGCAAATTAATATTTACTATTTTCTATCATATAAAACTGCCTATCTTTGAATTTGGAGTAGTCAGAAAAGCAGCAAAGTAGAAATCACATAAGGCCTTGGGAAAATTGGACAGCGTGATCCAGTTTTGTTTTATGGAGGGTTCGGCCCATTGATCAAAGAGATGATTTGCAGAACACACACTGAAATCAATTCTAAAGCAGCAAATTTGAAAGTTCTGTGTTTTCCATATCGTTTGCAAAAGAGCTCCATAACAAAAGACTGCAACTGTTTCAAAAGTGCTGACTATCGGATTTCTGACAACAAATTTCCTCCCCTAAGTGCATTAATGACATTTTGAATCGAAACCCATTTGTGCTAGATGTGTTTGTCGCTGGTTTCACAATGAAACTCAGACGCTGACATAAGTTTGGTACTAATGTGGATCAAGGATGTAATTGCAGCAGATATTGATTCGAAAACAGTGTTATTAGTAGGACCCAGTTGTGTCTTGCAGTTACCAGTCCTGAGACACTTCAATATATCACAAAAGTTGTGTTTCTATAGATATTGATACTCTGAAACATAAATCATGCTGTTCGTGTTTTGCCCTCAGCAGACCATTTCGACTCATTGACTATTCTCATGAGGCTGGAATCTGATTCACAATTCTGCACCTGCAAGATTTGGTTTAATCATAAACCTTTCCACCTCAACTGAGAAAAACAACCACAGTGTAACTTCCATCTGAACACAAAGACCATTGTCTGTTGACTGCTTAAAAACATGTCATGTTTGTAGTTGTGTCCTTTCAGCACCTTCGGCATCTGACCGCCTTCCATTGACTCTGTGTATCACTTCCTCCTACACACATCTGCATCCTCACTCCCTGCGTTCCCCTCCCTCCGCAGGTGCCGGTGGAAGAGTTACCATGGAAACCAGGACGGTGATGAAGCGCGAGCAGGAGGAGCAGTCGTCCCAGATGTCTCACAGCATGCAGCTGTCCTCCCAGATCAAGAAGAGGACCTTCACTTCCAGGTGCAAGCATGCTCTGCTCACATCAGTCGAGCAAGTTAAAAAGAATCAATGGAATAGAGGAGTGGTTTTTTTTTAGTAAAAGTTGAACATTGTAAAGAGAAAACAGTCCATTACAAGTGAAAGTCCAATATTTAAAGCCTACATAAAAGTAGAGACTATTTATTACCAAACTGCACTCCAAGTACCATCGTTAAAGTGAGCTACTCCTTAAATCCCTGTGACTGATTCTTGGTGTGCACTGAGGAAGTTTAGTCCAGTGGTTCCCAGGGGCTGTATGGTCCATCCAATTGGTCATAATGTGTCTGAAGGATCACAGGTTGATTGATGGGACATGAAGGAATAAAAACAGTTCTGCCACGTAAATTTCTGCTATGTTCAGTAGAATATCTGATAGTTGTACCCCTTGGGCAACTTCAAATGTTGTTGATCAATGAATGTATTTAAGAAAGATCTCTGAATAATGTATCTATTTGTTGCTTTGTAGGATTTATAGCATTCCTGTGACAACAGTGAAGCTGTGCAAACTTTTCCTGAGTTTTGGTTGAAGGATGACATTACTTATTTATTTAAGAGAAACAGATGGCAGGCTGGTTATTCCGAATTTTATGAGACATGACATTCACTCAAGTATGCCCTGCAGGCCCCTGCTGGTAGCTGCTAGCACAAAGACTATGAATTCAGTATTCTCAAACACACTTCACTGCAGACCCTTTTCACAAAACCCTGTCTTTGCTTTGCACACACACACACACACACACACACACACACACACACACACACACACACACACACACACACACACACACTCAACCAGGTGAAGCCAACCATTGAATGAATGAAGACAAACTTGTCGGCAGTTGCCGTTCAGCAACATTGTGGTTAGCATTGCTATTGTTGCATGGGCCCTGGACGCTGTGCCAGTCAACCATTGTGTTGAAAGACAAATATGAACAACTGTAGCAAATGGGACAGCAAATACGTACAGTCACAACAACCTTTAAATGTCAATATCAAGTTTATGTGTGAGTGTATGCGTGTGTGTGTGTGTGTGTGTGGGGAAGGGGGGGTGGGGGGCGGGGGGTGGATGACTACAAATAATGTATGGAGGCTATAGTCCTCATCACAGTGGCTGTGGGTTCAAATCTGACCTCAGCCCTTTGCTACATCTCATCCCCCACTATGTCCCATCTCTCTTCAGCTGTCTTAGCTTAGTAATAGAAGCCTATTCCATAACACTACGAGGATATTCGTGTCTGTTTCTACACCAGAATACAATGACTAATAAACAGTGAGCCTGTCCCGTTGCACAAAGACAAAAGAGAGTGAAACAATAAATAAAAAAAGGAGATACACCAGTGCTCCCAAGTGAGTCCAGTGAGCTCTAATAGAAATTGCTTCTGGTCCTGCGCTAATATTCTCAAGTCCGATTTGATTTCGTTTTCACAGGCCCCCTGCTGCAGTGACTTATTAAATTATGCTAACCTGGGAGGTCTGCAGAATCTACATTGTGAAACTTAACCCATTTTCACAGAAGGGATGATAAAAATAAGCAATTATTTCATGAGGCCTAGTTGAGCTACATTAAGAGTTGAGAGTTTTCTTCGGTGTAAAAATAAAAGTGAGAGAAGAGGCAGGCACGAAAACATCCTCTGTTGGGACACACTACATAGATGTTTACATCAAGTGTCCTCTGGGTATCTTAGGAAAACAGAACTATGAAAGGTGTTTTGCCTAGGCTAGTTCTGCTTGTTTGTACTAAATGTACTGGTTTTGCTATTCCCAGTACAAGTTGTTGACATGCAACAATAACAGCAGAGCATCCACTATCGCTCAGAAAACTTCCTCTTTTTCAAATATCATACACAGGGTTAATATTTTGAGGAAGCATGTTTAAACAACAAGTGCACCGTGTCATTCTTCTGCACACAGCAGCATTTTGTTTGTTTGCTTGGCAGAACATGTGTGTGAATGTTCCTGTTCATAAGCTACAATGCTACGAGTGTGTATTTGTGTGTTTGTGGGCTTTACTTGAGCGATACTGCCCAGCCAAAGGCTTTGCACTACATTATTCAAACAGCATGAGTCTCTGAGCACACACTCAGAGGAAAGCTAAACAAAAGAAAGGAGAAAAATTAGACGGCAAAAGCAGAAGTTGTCCCCCGAGTGCCGTGAAATGGGGAAATATCCCAGCTTACAAACAAAAGAAAATGAGAAGTCATGTCAATTTGCTTTGTCATTAGTGAGATGGCTCATTGAAAGTAATGCCTGAGGCTAATTATCGTTGGCAGCAGTTAGCGGTTGTGTCATGTATACCTGGGTAAACAAACTTTGAGTCTTGTAATTTTGTTTATGTTGATTGCGGAGCAGCTAATGCTAAGGTACTTTACTTCATTGTTAAGTCAATCCACGCAGGAGTTACATACATTTAATAACAAAAAAAAGAAGACATTTCAACTTTAAATGCCCTACCACTTCAGTAATAACTGATGTCAAAAGTCATGTGTGGATGAAAAGGGAGCGAAAGTTCATGCATCTCTTGTTACAAAAATTCCTTTCAGCTTCATTGGTTTGAGTTACCTTGTCACTGATCTCGATTTACAGGTTCTACACAGAAATGTAAAATCTGTACACAGGGGGTCATGATTTTCAGCCTGCGAAGTATTCTGGTTTCCGATTGTAGTACATTTGTCGTTCAAGCTCTGCAGACCATTACGTACCAGCAGGCTTTGGTGTCTACAGGTAAAAAGGTATGTGAGGACAGTAAACGGGTAGAACGTTATCTACGCTAATGACAGGCTATCTCCCATCGACGGTATTCCGATGATGATTTATTTCTTTACCTGAAACGGATCAGAAAAGATTGGACTCAACCACAAAAATAACACTTAAGGGGTTCTTTTCTCCTCTTGATGGCAGAACTGACGAAACTTGTCTTTTTAATATTTACAAATCTGCATCATGATAATGTACCATGCATAATTGCCCTCAATTGAAAGTAAATCAGATTGAAGTGGATTTCTTTCTCGGGGCTCATTCCGCTGAAGTGAGCCTGAGTGAAACCAAAGCATAGCTTACATCTTACCGTTGAACTGACACTCTAATATGAACTGGTGCTACTCCGGGATGTTCGGACAAAGAATTACTCGGGTTAAGTTGTGGCCTGAAAACTCCTCAAAGAAAAGGAAGTCTTGCATGGAAGTCATTTCTGCCTAACCTCTTGCTTCACCAGAAGTACGGAGAAATTCATGCCACTCCCAGAGGCTATTGTCTATTGAATGATGATTGCAGAAGGTCTACGAAAAGGCCATGTCACGAGCGACTGTCCAGTTTATGGGGGTACATTTAGTAAAGGTCGGCTCAGTTTATCATTGGTGCTATAAAAGGAGAGCTTATGCTTCAGTGTTAAATTACATTAGTGTACTTGTTGTCTCTGTGTTTGTATGTCTGTTCGACTCTGTGCCCATGATGAAGGGACTACTTTGAGTCCCTGAAAGAGAACAGAACAGGCGGTGCTTCCCGGTTTATTATCGCTTTAGTTTGTTTGTCCAGGTTTGGTTCATCGTGTTCAGTTTGTGTTATAGTTCATCAGCTGGAACACAAACAGTTCCCCTGCTTGTTGACAAAGACATAGTGTTGGTTTTAAACTGAACATCACAGATGATTGCATGTTATGATGCCGCCAACAATTTAATTACCATTGTGCCTTGAACAACCTGTTGGCTCAGGTCCAAAACCCTTTGGCTCATAAACACCATTTGTCATCATTTCCCTGTGCTTATATCAGCAGCCACTGTTTCTAATTATACCTCCTTTAGACTATAGCATGAGTGTTTGTACACCACAGACTTAAAGGAAACACTGGAGGAGCAGAAGGAGCTGATGGTGGTATATACAACTAATTAGTTTCTTTAGCTTTAAGGATTTAGCAGCCAAGCAGTAGATAAAGAAATTAATAACAACTCAACCTTTACAAGCAGCAGCAATGGGATCCATAAATATGATCCAGACCAGAAGTATCAAAGATATTAAAAGTCATCATTCATAGTACTTCTGGGTATATTTTCATTTTCATGCTTCAAGGCAGATTGTGCAACATTTCACACATAAATGCAGCAGATAGCAAGTTTATCCTCGATAAATATCTCTGAGTCATGACTGTCTACAATCAGTGAGAAGCTTGAGTCCCGCTGGCTGTATTGTTGTCGCAGCTGTGTTTACGTCATGTTTACATGGACGGGACGGCCTTGCGTATAAAGATGTTGTAGTCAAAGACTAGAGAAAAGAAGAATAACACACTCACTGCTTATTTGGATGTCATGTAAGTGTCTTTAGATCACAGCCATATCGTGTCAATTTATGTTCAATATGAAGCTATGAGTTAACCAAAGTGTGCTAACATTAGCCTGCTAACACAACAATGCAGGCCACAGGTTATTGCCGCTCGAGCAAAGGGGCGATTTTGACCGCTGCTTGCGCTTAATGGTGCTTAATCAATGGTGCGTTCTAATTAATAACTCCTTCATACGAACGCAAGTGGAGGGAGATTGGAGGTGGAGGCTTCAGAATAGCGGAGGTGTTGCCAAACAGCAGTTTGTTTTGGTTTCATGCTGGTGCTCAGCACCCCCTCATGCTCAGGGGGCGACATTACAGGATCAAAAAGTCACACATTCTTTCATTCAGGTTCAGTTCTCATTGCAGATATTTTTTTTTCTACTCCTAGGAAATTTGCTTTGTGGATTTAAAAGAGTGAAGCAGCATATGCCTATTTCTTGACCCCGCCTTCCATACCTTAAATTTATCAGAGTCAGATAGATTGCCAGCATGCAGTTGTGAAAGTGTTACACCATGTGTCTTGATAGAGAAAAACGGAAGAGACTGCATTCACAGCTTATGTCCAGCAGCTGTGTAGTTATCAAACTGTAGCCAGTTTCAACAGTGCAGCCATCATAGCTGACAACTTCATACCTCTCTTTTCCAGTTTGTCAAGGACAGAAACTACACAAAATCTTATTTGACATGATCTGAATCTTAATCTGTGACTTTGTCATACGACGTTGTGATATTTTATAAAACAATGTTTCGTATGTTTAAACTGATCGGTGACAAATCTGCTGTGCAACACAATGTAACACACTTTTCAGCTTACCCCTGATCTGCACAGATTGACAGAAGGAATTAGAGCAAAAAACAATATTGACATTGTTTTGTCTGTCTTCCATGGAAATCCCCCTTCTTTTCTGTTTTTGTTGTTTTGTTTGATTGAGGTTTGTCATTGTTTGCGCAGCTAGGTTTTTTTGCCACAGGAAGAGGAGACCAAAAAAAGGTCCATTTAAGTTGTTTTCAGTCGTGAGACAAGATAAAAGCATTCACTGTTTGCCAACATAACCAGAGCTCTCTCTCTGACATATCCACCACTGCTGTTCAGACGGAGAATAGGAGAGACACTGCTGCTTTCTAGTGGCAGAGGGGAATAATGGTCTGATGAACCCAAGATTGCATAATGTGCCATGGACTGTAACAAAAGGAATAGGCACGCTAATATGAATGCTCTATAACTCCATCAACACATTAAATATCTGTGAAGACAGACAAGGGAAACTATGTATTTTGTAATCTTTCACCTGTGTCATCTGATGATATGCAAGATTTCCTGTCTTAATCTGGCTTTCTTTTATTTTTCTGAATATTACAGTGATGAGGAAGCCTCCTACTCTGGTTTCTATCCCATCATCCCCGCTGACATCATGTCTGTCAAGGAGATCTTGGACATGGACAACTTCCCCCGCCACAGGACATGGTGAGATTTAAGAGCACATGTCACATGTTTTTGTTGGTCTCGGGAGGGATGAGGATTTATGATGATAATAACTGAAGACGATTGATGACAATAATGATGACATTTCTCAGAAGGGAATGTTTAATATCACTTCACAGGACCATCATCTATTTTGTGGGTTAAAATGATCTATTATCTTATTATTAGAGGTGTGTCGGTTTGTAATCACGTTGATGCATAGATCATAAACATAAAAACTAGGTACGTGCAGGACTAGCCAACTGAACAGTTAAACAAAGTCCCCACATTATTCAACATCAGAATTACTAGACGGTTAAACAAAGATAAATATATATTTTTTAATATTTTTATAATATCCCGTCAAATTTTGTGCTCCAAACTTCAATGCAACAACCTGCCACTAGTCGGGGCTGTAGCCATAGACTGGCTGTAACTTCGGTCAATGGGCCTTCTCCTCTGGCTCTGCTACCTGCATGTAAACAAGCACAGTGAAAGGAGTATAGCATCCCATAGAAGCTGCACTTCCGGCAGTATTTTGATCAAGAAAGTGGAGATAAAGTGGTATATAGGCAGTGTCATGTTACCTGGCATATAGACCAGATCAATGCATAAACCACATTCAGCACAGGCATGTGAATGTTAAAATACAAGGTGAACTGGCATTGCTAGCATTGCTAACATTAGCCCCACTCAGCATTTAAAATCTGACATTGTTTTCCCGCAGACAGTTTTAAGTAAAGTGTACTATTTTTTTAATCTTCTGAGTGTTTTCTTACGTAGCAAGTGGGTTGGTAAAGATTTGTATTTCCATTTAACCAACTATGATTAACTACTTGGCTAGGAACATCCCTTATTAAAAAAAAGCCATAAAAGCCCTGCTGCTCATTGATTTGCCCAGAGTAGCCTCATACACCATGAGATGTAAAAGGAATAGATACCATAGAATGTAGGCGTGACAAAAATCATGAAGACCCAAAAATATCAAGAATATCACTTTGTTTTGTGTGTGTATGTGTGTGTGTTTTATTGACCCACCTTTTGAAACATGGGGGCGCTGAAGACTTCCAGTTTAGTGATTTAACGCTGGTGGGAGGGAAGGGGCCTTGTCCTGTCAGAGCAGACAAATATTGCAAATTACAACCTGGCCAAATGTTCATTTCATATTGGTTGAAAAACCAATTAAATATGACAAGAGAAATTACTTAGTACTGGACATTGCCAGGACAAGTGCAATAGTGAATCAAGTTTATCACTTTGAATTATTCATCTGATGGAAGTTCAAATGGGAGAATGATGCCATATCCATTCAGACACAGCTTTTTTATGAAGCTTTTATCGATGTTTTGTTATTTAGTCCTGCATGCGAGATGCATTTTTATTCACTAAAAACAGATTTATTGAAAAACAACTTTTAGGGTGAAGTGATTCTGCAACTCAGTTTTCTTTGTTTGGAAGACTTTTTTGTTTTTACATGAATACACAGACAAAAGCAATAATAAAGCTCATCAAGCATGCTCAGAAAATTCTCACTTCTAGCCCTGCATGCTTGTTTGAGCCTCAGAAATATTTTGTGTTCTTTTTGCACATGTAACTTTTGTTTAGGTAGGCCTCGTGAAACAATCCTTTAAGAGACGATGTATCACTCTGTTTGAGTTGTTGCAACTATGAAAACAAAACTCCTGATTAGAACACAGGTGCCACTGGCTCTGTACGATTGACAATATTCTTCCCACAATTAACATTTTTAAATGGTACAGTTGTTGTAGTTATAGTAGTAAAGAAAACATAATTTTTCAGTAACATAACCTGCAGTTTATTTTTTTTTTCTTACTTTCTCACATTATCTTCATTTCTCATTTTTATTTAAGAGTCTTCTGTGGGTTCAAGCTGAGCCAAAGTCTAAGAGCCAAGCTACGTAGATTTTTCTCCAGAGGACTTCCTTCCTGGGTGATCTGTACTTGTCATAAATTCTCCCTCTCCATCAGCAGTCACCACCGCATCCTCCCCTCTCCACTTTACTTGACAAAGTGGAGTGGCTCAAGTTTCAATGGTGCTTTGCCCTGTGAGCAGAAGAGCTTTTATGCCAACAGAGAGTCTCAATAATCAACAGAAATTAGAACTGCTTATGGTCTGTCTGTAAAAGACCAGCTGCGGGCTTGTCTTATTATTTGCTGTCTCGCAGATGTCATGAGATCAGTAAGCCATAAATAACAGTTCAACCAAGAAGTCAAACTGTGAAACCTTTTATTTCATAAATGGGAAAGAAGAAGGACTTGCACATCCTGTTGGAAGAAAAGAGTCCATCAAAAAGAATGCTTGATGGTCAGGAAATTCATTCATGAATCTATTCTCATAGGCAATTATTATGAAGTCATTTGACAAGACAAACATGTTGCACGTTCTTGTCCTGGTCTAAAGAAAGCAAAATTGTAATTTTTTTTTACTTTCTCTGGTCCTAAATTACCGTAAAATTACTAACTTTGTTTTTAGGATGTTGGTCTAACAAGAAATCTTATTCAAATAAATCACTTTGGGCTGTATTTAGAAGTCACATTGAAAAAAATATTTTCCAAAATATTTCAGACAAAGTTTTCATTTAGAGATTCATCACAAATTAAATAGTTGTCGGACGAGCCCTGGAATAAAGCTGTAAAAACAACCCCTTACTTAAGGTAGGAGTCTCACAAAGATTGAATAATCAGGGACCCATAAGTAAATAACAAGTGATGTAACAGGTCAACTGAAAAGTGTACCCAACACACATATGTAGCGTGTGGCTGGACTTACTCTCCTTCCAGTACAGAATGCATTGAACATATTAGTGAATAGGAATCTAAGAGGATTGCGTTGATGACAACTCTCTCTGAGCTACTACTTTTTAAGGGTCTTAAAACCATGTTGCCAGGATAGGATTGTAGCTCAGCTGTTATGGGGAGGATGTCATACTGTATATCTAAAAATAAGTCCCAGAATAGGGCGCTTTAGGTCACTGAGAACTGGAAGCAAGGGGATTGTGACCTCTTATGACATGATTTGCTGTACAAAAATCTCATTTCTACCACTGGGACAATTCGCCCTGTCTGGGTCACGTAGTATCTTTGTTAGGACTCAATGGCACTTTAGAGAATGGAGGTTTAGAGGCAAATTCTTTCCAGTTGCCCAATACATCATATAATTAAAAAGGGTGGTTTCACATGAGGGACCATGACCTGGATCCAAGTACACTTGACCCTAAAGTCCAGTTCATTTGATCATTTTGAACACAAACGTACTGTACCTTGGGTACAGTGCCTGAGTCTGCTTGAAGACGTGTTCTCAGGAACAATTCATGTGTACATGAGTATGAGTGTACACCTCTTCAAGCGGACCCGGGCACGGTACCCGACATATGACGTAACTCTTCGGCTCCTGTAGCTTCAAAAACAGCTGTAAACCACCTATTTGCATACTTCCACCTGCTGTATCGTACTGTGTACATGGGCATGTGTAGTTGGGCACAGATCTCTGTTACTAATGTGAACGCAGGCCAGCCGGGGAGGAGGGAGGGGTGAGCAAGCCCTAAGTCTATTGAGTCAAAAAGAATTTGACATGTAGAGTGATACAATTCTAAGAACATCTATAAAATGCTCTTTAGGCCATAAGAAGAAGCTTTGGATGGCAACATAAAGAGATGCATGGCCAGAGGTCACACGGAGAATTGAAGGAGAGGACTAGTAATACTAGAAGATGGTTTTCAAAGACAGAGAGTGAAAAAGAGGGGAAGTCATTGAGGGTGCAATCACCCCCTCTTGAAAGACAAAACACATCTGACAGTAATGAGCCTCAGCTGCAGAGATGTGGCCTGCCAACTCGGCATCTAATTAGGTGCCCTCTCCCATGCCACCACCATCACCCTCCATCTCATCAACGAGTGTCTGTCCTATCCCCTGAAGTGCTTAGCTTAATTCGGTCTTGTCTCACCTTCAGTCTGACTCACCTGTTAAAGCCCTCTAACTCTTGAATTAGAACGGGAGGTTCCCTCTGAAGCGAGATTTCTCCATCAAACCTCAATTCTTCACATGTATTAGCCTCTCCTCAGAAGAGCAGGGATGGATATTTTTGGATTGAGGCTGGATATCAAGTAATGCTGGGGATGATTGACTCCTCCCAGGATAAGAGAGGAAGGACGGAAGGATGAACTTCAAAGCTCTCTCTCTTGAGGATTGGCACACTATTTCTGGAAGGCCTGAGTGTTGCAAGATGAGGGAGCATGACATTTGTTTTGATTTGTGTGGAAATGAAGGCGCTAGATCTTTAATACGATGGCTCCACATTAAAATCTGATTCACATAATGGTTTCTGTGCCATCATCTACTTGTGACAAGGGGTAATATATAGTTCTTTCAGTTGACTCATACATGCCGGGTTTCTCTTGGCAGGAAGGGTTCACTGTTCTTTGCACAATAATTAAGCTATTAACCGTCTCATACCCACTGACTTGATGAGTTCCAGTACTTTATTCCCTCAAGGTTTTAAATCTCTGAGCCCACAGAGAATAAAAACCCTGACGGGCACACACACTACTAAGCAAGCCTGTGGCAGAAAAGTCAAGAGTGTGACTGGTGTGGGTACCTACTTGTCTGCATATACATCTATGCATGCACGTATTTATATTTGCATACTTATTCATGCTGTTTGTGCATTTCACTGAATTATGGCAAGCATTTGAAGGGCCATTCATGCTCTAGTGGCCATCAAAGCTCGGAGAAGTGTTTGTGAATATTTAAGATTATGTCTCTCTGTTTGTTGTGGCAGTGTGTGTATGTGTGTGAAGTAAGGTTGAAATAATTAAGCCCTGGGGACTGTCAGTCAAAAGATGGTTTGGGATACACACCCTTTTGGCGATGAGAGAGGAAGGAGTATTAAACTACAGCATTTAAAAAGGCAGGAGAAATCTATGATAGTGTGTGGTGGAGTGTGTGTACCTCCATAAATATGGATGAGCTGCATACACAAGAGAAAGTGAGATGCAGTGGACAGCTAGATATATTCTCAGCTTCAGCCTGACATTCAGTTGTGTATAAAGTCTGGGGTGGGCCATAACCCTATTTTGAAAATCTTGATGAAAACAGCACACCGTAACAGATTCCATTCACCAACAACCTGATATCTAGTTTCGGGAGACCTGACTCTCAGGTTGTCGATGACCCCGATGGAGACCACGAGCCAAAACAGGTCGGTGAAACAAAGTTGATCTTTGAACTACAAGTGTTGCTGAAGCTTTTTGACTTCTTCAAGCCTTTTATATAGTTTCGAGAGTCCTGACTCTCAAAACTGGACATCACACGACATTTTGTCATTGGATTATGCAACTTTTGAGTTCGTTTGTTGGGCTATTTTTTAACTGAAAAGCCTAGCTAGCTAAGAGTCACAGTCCCCACTCTAGCTTCTCTACTTACTATGCCACCTTGATGCACTGACAGAGACGAATAAACTCTGCTTTGTCTGAGTACATACACTATCCGAGTGCATGACGTCTCAATGACAGCCAACTTGATAAAAAGGGAAGTCAAGGATGTCACTTTGACACAGCAACTGTCCACACCTGAAGGATTCCTGGAAAAACACTTATCATCATCCTGTGTTATTTTTAGAGTACTGGCTCTGCATTTCTACACAGTAACATGAATCAGCAGTGGCAGTGAGGTTTCATATCCCACTGATAAAACACTCGCTTCTCACAACCTTTGAACATGTGCTGCAAAGGCGCTTGTGTGAAATGACACGTAGGTATAAATGGAGCATGAAACCACCGACATCATCACTGAGGTTTTTCAACAACAAACTGCCAACAATCATAATAATAGCTTTTGTCTGCAAATGGACTGGGACGGAAATGTAAAAATGTATTTGCAAAAAATAAACTCTGTAAAATAGCTTTTTTGTTCTTCTCAAAGGTCGATCAGTCTTAACAAACCAAGCATCTGTCTGAATTGCTTTTCACCTCCGCTGACTGAGGTCTCAATTGTTTTGACAACTTACCTTACTTACTTATATAATAGATCTTATATATATGAGAGAAAGATGTTATGAAGCAATATGACCTCTAAATTTAACTCTTGGATCTTTTAAGGCTAAAGGCATTTTTCTTTGTATTATTATATAACTACTTATTATCATTATATAACACTGCACTATAACTTTTATGCTTGTATTTTAAAATGGTCTTTTAGCTTCTGTTTTTGCAGTTTTAATTTGATCTTGAGCTTGATTCTTAATGGTTTGTTTTAAAATATCCTCTTTTAATGCGTTGCTCAGATGATGCTTCAGATGTGTAGGGGAACACTTTTAATTGCCATGTTGCTCATATGTTCTCATTAAATGACTTTGCCTTGATTAAATGTACAGACGAACTACTTCCCTTGGTTTAATGACTATTCATTCATAAGTGGTAATCTGAATGTAAGTCAGCATGTCAGCATCACTGATCTATTTTATCTGCATCTACCATCATGTAAACATCTTGCTACCTAAGACTAAAATGTGAAATCACACAAATCACAGAAGATTATATAGCACTGAATTAAAATCTTTGTGCTGTGCTCCCCCAGGGATGTCTTGAAGGAAACTCTTGCTGCTGATGAAGAGTATCACAGAGAGAAGTGGACCCTGTTTGGGAACGAGGCTGAGAAGTTTGAACTGGGCGTGATCAGGAGCCAGCGCGTGCTACGTAAACGTGTGGACACCAAGGCACTTCGCAGGCAGGTAAAAATCACGGTTCAGTCTCAAGTGTTAGTGACTGCATTGTTTTCAGTTTTGTAAACACAAAAGTACTTATAGTCTCTGACTTCTTCATCATGTGTTCACTGATTCAAATTCATTTATGTTAAAACGGACAACGAAATGTAGCATAGTTCCAATACAGAGCATTACACTGATGTGCTACACAGAGAGTTTGTAGTGCTTATTTTCAACTCATGTCCTAAGTTGGACCAGTAAAGAATAATAACATAAACGGCATTTAGAAACATCAGAACACAAAAAGTATGTTAAGATGCAATAAAACACACATACCATAATCCAACAGTACATGAATTTCATATGCAATTCACCCGTAATATAAAATATATATTAGCTTTGGTAATGTCTTCGGCCCTGTCTGCTTTCACATCCAAAGGCTATGGATACGTGGTTGTACACCTGTTTGCTCCTCTGGGTCATGCCATCAAATACTCATTTGCATATTCAACATATTTCCAATGACATACCGCACTGTAATCCAAATTTTCCCCACACAATGGGCTTGAAGAAGCATTCAGGCGGCTAGTCGTCTTGCTGCCTTATATTACTCTTCCTATTGGTGGGTTTTTTGTGTCTGCTTTCTCTTCTTCTTGTGTTAATTAATGGTGGTTAGCAAACAGTTACAAGCATTACCGCCACCTGGATTGGGGTGTAGAGACATATTTGTCATATGAGGGCATGCACTGAACCATGACGTCCCGACAGTCTCATGAATACAGTTACGACCCCGTGAGCTTCAGTTATGTTTGATTATTGTGTCTTGTTTCCATGTTTGGGCGGGTTGGTACTTTGTGGATAAATAAGATCCTGTTGGTCAATAAATCTACATAAATAAACTACATGCAGTAGACTTTTCCCCCTAAAAAACAAAAGTGTTTTGTAGACGTGATGAAGAATTCAAAGCTTCAAGGACTGCTATAATCTATTTTAAAAGTGTATTTTGACATTTGCCTTGTTTATTCATGTGCATAGGGAGCAGAATGAAACGTGTCTGCAATTTATTTGATATTAAAGGGAAAGTAAAGAAACTACAGCACCATGAAAAACAAAGTGTCATTGACTTAGTTCAATAACTTTGATATCGCAGACAAAGATAACAAAGTTTTTAATGGTTGTTAGCTGAACACAGGGGTTTACTGCAATGTCACCCAGGGTGTTTTTGTTACGTTATCTTATTTGTTTCTCTTTTCTGTTTAAATTAGATCTGAAGGACTTGGATGCCTCTTTTAAAAATTAAGTTTGCTTAAGAGACACAGATTTTGTTCATCACATTTATTTAGCTGTTATCAGCAGTATACTTTATCTATCATTAACAAAGCTCTCCTTCTCTGGAAACTCCTGTGCTTCAGGCAGAAATGAAGGCATCTGCCCACATGAAGTATATGGAGCGTCTGAGCCAGAAGGCCCCAGACTTTCCTATCCCTCTGAGGGCTCACACCGTCTGGGAGGGCATGACGGTCAAACTCGCTTGTACCGTCCAGGGCTGTCCGCCTCCAGAGGTCAAATGGTAAGAGCTTCTTTGTCTGCTGCAATCTAGTCTCTGGGCTTCAAGAAAGTCTGAAAGATTCTTTGGGACAACCCTGCTAACTCTGTATACGTTCTGCTGAATTATATTTCTCAAGAGCAAACTGGTGTTACTTTTATTTAGTTTCTAACTTGGTTGGAGATGGAAATAGAAATTATGTCTTGCCCAACTTTAAAAAAAAGAATGACTGCAGAAGTTACACATACATGATGTTCACTCATGGACAATCAGTGGTTTCATCTACCAGTTAATCAAAGAAAGTGTACTCTTCAACAAAAGAGACAAATGATCATTAATGGCAATGATTATATTTTAATTCTGATCTTTTGAAGGTTTGGTCTTTCTTATGTCACGGCAAATTAGATTCAGAAAGTAAAAATAAAAGAACGATAGGAAGATGGATGCGTCTCAGTTTTATGACCTTCTGTGTCAACAAGACAAAGAAATCTATCAAAGGAAATAAGAAGTGCATCAGTTATGAAAACTAGTTGCAGCCTTTCTCTTTATCATTAATTCATGACTCGTCATTAACAGAGTGAGACACTGTTTAATTTATAATGTGAGCCTTAGAAGAATATAGTGTGAGAGGTAAGGTGGAAGGTTAGGTTATACATCTGTTAATGCAATTTATTTCAAAGATAGTCTCACAGCACATGATTTGCTTGTGAAAAAACAAGAATCGTGACCCCGCAGCTCTGAGCCTGGAGTTGAAAATATCACTGTATTAATATGAAATTACTGGTGTTAATTCAGGCAATGTGCCAATCTGTCGACCCTGATGCTTGAGCTGCTCAGAGACTAGCTGATGAACAGACTGAATGCTCAGTATTCATGAACTGAAGTTGAGAACCACATAACCTGAGGCTCTTGGGTTTTATCATCCCGTATGGGACCTATCGAGCCCAATAAGCTGCCCTCAACAGTGCCCGGTAAAAAAAGAATGAGAGATCAAAGCTCCCCTCTGGCTGTTATACATTCAGCCTATCAACCAACATTTGATTGGTGAAAGATGTGGGTAAGAAGTCAGTGAGGCCGGGTCATGATCCACCATTGTGCAGCTCGTTATTCACTTTGCCCTGATATTCAGAAAAAAAAATCATTTTATTAAATTTAATTTTTACCGCTCATGGTGTGTTCAGAGTTTTTCATAAAAGAAAATGAATCGCAAATTTATCACATTCTATGTCCAGAAAGGAGCAGGGAGTAGACTATCTTATTGTGTCAGCAGCTTCCTCAAAACCAAAGTGACCAATAGATGCAACACATTTTACAGTAACATTAAAAGAAAAAACAATGAAAATTCAGAGACTTTGACTAAACTTCCACATTATAAAAAATAATAACTAACTCCCAATTGTCATTAATATACAAAAGAAAGGCCCCCAAAACCAAGCCATGTGGGACTCCACATTCATTGTTCTTAAACTGAAAATAAAAACAAAAAAAAACACACACTCAAATCTATTTCTTAATTCCTATGTCAGGTATAAGGACGGTCTGCCTCTAAGGATGTCTGACCAAGCATGGAATTACAGTCTTCAACAGAAATTTGGTCTGAACATACTGGAGATTAGAAGGTAAGTCACCAGCTCAAATGCTTAATAAAGGCTGAAAACCTCTGGTGGAAAATGTGTGAACATAATAAGATGTCCTATGTGATGATAGCATTATCTTGCCATTGATTTATTGGAAAGAAATGAAACATTAAAAGATTCCATGGACGCTAACCAGATATTTAAGTGTCCTCTATAATTACTGTTGTCTTGTTTATTCAAGTATCTTGTATCTTGTCCACCCTATTCTCAATGAATATTAGAGTTTTTGAGAAATATTCATCCTTATTTCCCAGGCATGTGATTTTGAAATCTACACACACCCAAATGATCATTCCTCACCCAGATGACAAGCTAAAAGCTACAAGTCAAGAGTCAACGCTGTGTTTATGTTTGAATGTTTTCACAGGCACTATTGGCTTTTGTAATGACAAGCAATAATACATTTTCCAGGGTAAAAATTCTCAATGAGTGATACATTTCACTGTTACAATAAAGCAGGAGATACCTGGCCGTGCAGAGGACTAAGATAGAATTGCATATCAGCATTTCATCAACTAATATGTGGCCACTGGTTGAGTTTGAGTTTTTCTTCATGATGTAATCATGTGATGAATAATATTATTGTTGTGGTAAAATATGTCTAATATGTTGAATCTAAATAATGTTGAGGTCGCCTGATTAAGACAACTAGCAGTTGTATGACGTTTTTAATCCAATGTGAATGCCGCTGTCAGCCTGTCATAGTCAGCAGCAGATGCTGAGATGCCACCGCAGTTATGCCGGCCAACGCAAGATAACTGAGAAACTTATGGATGAAGTTAGGAATCTGTGGTGTCAAACTGAGATTAATGAGAGCTGTTTAGTAAGTCTGCTCCATTACCTAAATTCAAAAAGTGAAGCCAGTCAATTAAGCTGAGTGGTCTGCAGTTGAGGCACCACATCTCTTTCTTCATCATGTTGCATAAGGGATTCATTTAATAGCCACTCTAACCGAGTAAAGCATGCTAAACACAAAAAATGTGCAATAAGAGCATATATTTTTAACACACTAGAGTTTAATTTCAGCATATTCTTCACCCACCGCTTTTTTCACAGAAACATTCACTCTCTGTCCTCAGATGCTCTCCTGAGGATGCTGGCGAGTATAAAGTGGTTGCCAAGAGTCCCCTGGGTGAAGCTATGACCTTTGGAACTCTTGTGGTCAATTGTGAGTACTTTCCTTTTTCATAACAGCACAGCACTGCTGGAAACCACATTGGATAATACAGAGATGGGGTACACTACAATGAGTGAAAGGTTTTGCAGCTTTTGAAGAGTTTGAAGAGTATTGCTCAGTTGCAGGCTTTCCACAAGTGCCAGCTGTGGGCCAAACAGCCGATTAATCACTCAATTACAGCCGGCTACTTTTACCATTTGTTGATTCGTTTGACTCACAAGTTGCTCCCCGCTTTCACTGTTCATTTAAGAGCCCCCCCCCCGACAAATTTTTACTTATTTATTTTTTAAATCATTACGACAGTAATGCTGAAAGGAGATGTCACTGTTCAATAAATATTAGCAAAATAATTTAGGAGAAGAAGAAGAATTGCATCTTACAACACAGAGATGGTCATCATAATTGTTCTACCATACTACAGGCTGCTTCTGAAAACACCATAACTGGTGGTGGCAGCAACATGAGGCCTGCTTCTCTGTATCTCTATATCTCTTGACCCGGTGGAGAGCAATACATCTCGATAGCCTGTCATTTACTTATATTTAGACCCCAGTCAGCTCCCATTTGTATTACCTGTGCCTCATGTTAGAATTAACCCTGTAATGTTGTGGAACTGCGTTGTCAAACTACAAATGCTACCAGCCCACCCTCATTTGACAAAGATGTGTAATTATCTTTTAAGAAAACTGTAAAGAATTGGGTTATCAAACTCATCATCAACTAAATATAATCAAAAAAATATTCAATACGTTTTTAGTGTATGATAGAATAGTGTCATTGAAATGTGCCAGAATCCACCAAATTGGGCTTTTAAGGCCAACATTTATCGCCTACAGTAACTGCTAAGAGATTGGCAGAAAGCCATGTGAAAGCTGGAGAGCCTGTATCAATCTAAAACTGGAAATGTCCTGAATTTAGGAATTAAAGTAAGGCCCAGTTTTATAAGTCACTATATGTCATAGTTGAACTCTTTCACACATTCATCACAACACTGCTGTTTATATTGACATATTTACATAAGCTCTGGGGAAAGTCATTGGCATGTCAGTAAGAGGAACACATATGTCAACAAAAACAAGACCAACACAGTTTACAGACAGAATAGGGAGAACAAACCAGCAAAACAATGAAAAGCACTTACAAAACACAACTCCAAGCGCAAAGAACACGTCACATCCGACAACCTGCTGAGTATCATCCACTAGACACCATTCAAAGGTACAAACTAAGTTGACAAATATCTAAAGACAGATTGATGCGTGCGATGCCATATTCAAAAAATTATAAAGAAAAGCTTACTCACTGTCAGTCAATGCTGAAGTGAACTCTCTCAGGATATTTCGTCAATACTCTTGCAGGTATGTTTGTTACTTGAGGCCATCCATCTGAAAAACAGGCATGAATACTGTAATAATAATAATGAATACTCCAATCACTTACTCCTTGTACTATAAACATAGACTGTAAATATTACGACAATAACATGTAGGCTACAATTTCTAAAAAGGGCAGAATAAAAACCCTGCAGTGCAGGTGAAGGGTCTTGGTTAGCTCAGTGTGTAGCAGCCTCTGTCAAAGTGTTACTCTGATGGTTTAACTATTGTCGGTCCCCAGGGGTCTGTGACAGACGATGTTGGGACAGACCGTCTGTCCCATATTCCTTAACATCGTGCATACATGATACTTGCGTAGACATCGAGTCACGAGAAAATCAAGTAGCCTAGTTAAAGAAAACATCAAAATAGTATTCTTTGGATAACAGCCAGCTTACGTAACTTTAATTAGCCGCTTGAATAATTATCTCGCGCAGGTAGGCCTAAGTGTTTATCGTTAAGCCCCGCCCCTACCGTGAGCTCAACGCAACAGATGTCTTTTGTCATGTTAGAAACGTACTGTTTTCTCAGTTTCAGTTACATAAAACAGGACCAAGAAGCGGGTAAGTTTGGTTACAGTTATCACAATGTTATGGTGCCCTCATATAGTTAAGTTATTCTCACTTCATACGCAGGTGCCCGCTGCATGACCTTTATTCAAGTGTTGAGAACAATTAGTGTTAAGGTCATAAATGACTAGTTTTGCTGTTCTACTATTCATTTTAATGTTCAAGTTTCATTTTCTTATAAGCTTACCACCTTGGGTGGTTCCCAAAGTGGGGGTTTCTCTAGACTCCGTACAAAAAAGCTAATTTAAAATTGTATATTTGATCCATTATTGCTAAAAACAAATGTAGGCCTACACATGTGAAATGAATACCCTATCATTTAATGAAATGAAATGTAACCCTTGCCTTATACTCTATATATATATATATATATATATATATATATATAGATATATATATATATATATATATATATATATATATATATATATATATATATATATATATATAGATATATATAGATATATATAGATATATATATATGGTTTTTTTTTTGTCAGGAGATAGTATCACAATCTGTAAGTCTTGCTGCAACATTTACAAGTTACAACATATCCTAACACTTAAGGCTTCTTAGAAATAAATTGTGAGCCTCTCTCTCGCTCTCTCTCTCTCTCTCTCTCTCTGGTTTCTGACTCTTTCCACTGTCCTGTTTCTAAAATAAAAAAGGCATTTAGAGACAAAAAAAGTTTTATTTATAATATTATATAAACATTTCTTTTTCAGTTTCTCTTCAGTTTTTAAAATCATATCACAGTTAGGCATTAAATGTCTTTTGCAATTTCATAGGAAACCATTAATGCCCTTGGGGGCTGGCTCTGTCTAGAATAGGGAAATATCTCATGTAAGCATCTTGGCCTTAGTGTTCTTAGTGGCCTTATGACATAAACATTCATAACACTGTTTTTCTTGTCTTTTGCACCACTTTAATGACCCATCTTTTCTTGACAGCAGGGCCAGGCTGCACAGTTACCAAACATTGTAGATAAATTAGATGGTCAGGGATTTAATGAGTCTCTTCAAGGCTTCTCTGGGCCATCTTTAGTTCATGTCCTTTCTCTACTTGTTAAAAAAAAGAGGTGAAAGGGAATATTAGATGTGACTTTCATGAATGTGGCCTGGCCAGCTTTTATTTGTCTGTTGTTTCTCTCTTTCTTGTGCCCCTTCAATTTCACAATATCTCTCTGTGTTTCTGTCTCCATCCCTGACCCGCCCCGCCTCTCTTCAATCGGTCCTGCTCTGCTGCTCTGCTGCCCTGCCACTTCAGCATATCATGGAGCCGTAGCTGGTTCAGGGCACTCACAGACCCGCGGTGAGCTTCACGCCTGTGCCTAATGAAAAGTGTCCCCTTTCATTTTCTCTGCCCTCCTTTGAAGTTTCTTCCCTCCACCGGTAAACGAGGGAGGCAAGAAAGAGGCTTTGAAGGCACTAACACAACACTCTGCTCTGCCGTGCATGCTGCACCTCATAAAGACAGATGTGGATGGATTGGAAGGGAGCCGCATGTTGACAGCGTTTGTTTGTCATGGGAATTTATGTTTTTTGTGTGGGTGTCCATGTCCATGGATGTACGGGTGTTAAGTAAGACTATTTGTGGGATAGTTGCTGCAGGGATGTAAACACTTGCTTACAATTGAGCAGAAACGACACAGTCATGTATATTTGATTTCAGGGACAGCCAGGGATTTAATCCTTTTTGCTCCGAGTTGTGGAACATCTCATAATGGCTCTGGTATACTCTTTGGCCCAGATCATCCTCCACAATGTGTTCTGTCAAAAACATGAACACACAACATGTTCTGTTTGTTCAAATGACAAAGATAACCTGTTTTATTTTACCAAAAAATGCCTCTTCTTTGAAAATGAATAATGACTTTGGCCTATCAGAAGCAAAGGCATAGCTTGACAAAGCTTAAGGCTTCAGAAGCAGGTTATCAATGTAATCTTTGACAAAAGAGGACGCTGTACTCACCCACTTTTTTTGCTTAGATGTGGGGAAGCAGAGACTTCCCAAGCCAAGAAAACCCAAGCCATTTTCTAAAGGTCACTTTATAACCTAGATGTAGAACTAATATTTGTAGGTAAATCTGAAGGTGGACCTCAGAGTCTTTCTTAATCTTAGATCTAATCTATATCTTTTTTGTAACATGAGCCACTCAATAAACACAAGATATCAAAAGCCATCATCGCTAAGGGGAGCAAATACAAAAGTGAGAATTAGAATGAAGGGGAAAAGATCTAAGCGTTGGACTTTGGATAAAGCTTCACCCATATCCTGATAATACCCTTGACTGCTAAGTAGGACTAGATCATTATAAAATAAATGTTATAGATTCCTTCAGATTAAATCCTGGGAATGTGATTTGACGAGCCCTCACTTCCAGATTGCATTGCATTGCTTCAGTTCTTTGACAAGTGACAAATGGCTGTACAGTAGCTGAAGGAATAACTTGTCAGGAGTTGTTCACTTAACAAAAAAAAGTGTCACATTTTCAGCTTGTTTCAGTTTTCCTGCTGTCATCTATTGTTTCCTTGAAGGCTATCCTCTCCTGTCTCTCCTTTGTATCTCAGATGAGGCAGGGGATCTTTGTCTATTGTGACAGTAGAAGTCTTCAAAAGTTAGTAAAATTTGCATTGATGAGGACAGAGTTGCTTTGTTCAGTTTCACTATAAAGAGATGCTGAGTAAAGAAGAGCTTGTTACTTCTAGATTGCAGAGAATTGAGTTCACATCTGACAACAATCTGAGCTTTTCTGACCAGGTTTTTATGGCAGAGTTTGGAGGGTAGATGGAAATAGTTTTTATGTTTTATCTCCAGAAATCATCATGCTTTGTCCTGCCAGCCATTTACCTCCTGTACAACCTCTACTTCCTGGTTGCTTTCTTTTTACCTGTCATGCATTTTGTCATTATTCTGTCCAAACGATGTCTGTGCTATTTTGAAGTGCAACACCCACCCAAATTATAACCATCAGGACTATTTTGTTTGCTTCAGTAAGATTTTCTTCGGTGTAGACTTACTTCTTTGATATTCATTTTATTGTAGCCCTGCACCAGTGAGGAGAGGGATTTCATTCTGCTGAAAACTCTTCTTTTAATGTTTCATTTTCAACCTTGTTTTGACTCTGTCACCAATTTCCTGATTTCCTCCGAAGTTTCCTCAATTTAATGTTTGTTTGTTTTTCTTCCACTCTTCAACATCTTCCGGCTTCAACTTTTATCTTTTCTTTCTATCCTCTGCCTGTCCTCCAGCTATGCAGCTTGAGCAAGAAGTCCACTTTGGCAACACTTTCCCCCCGACCTGGGTGAAGGAGGGTGACAGCCTCACCCTGCGGTGTAACTTCACCTCCACTCTGCCCTCCCAGCAGGTTGTCAGCTGGTTCAGAGATGGTAAGTGCTGTTGCAGATGAATCGTATGAGCCAGCTGTGTTCGTGCTTTAGGTGATGGTTCATGTCTGTCATTCTCCAGGCGTCCAGCTGCATCAGTCTGACTCTGTGGTCATTAAGACAGTCGATGACAAGGCCTGGATGACTTTAAGGGCTGCATACAAGGAGCATGAGGGTGTTTACAGTGCCCGACTGAGGACCAGTGATGGAATCCAGGAACACAGTGCTTTTGTCTATGTCAGAGGTGAGCACCAGCTTTAGAGGATTCTTTGTTTTATACTCATCATGCAGCAGTTTTTAAATTATGCTATAATATTAAATTATTATAACTCCTAGACTGTATGAAACATGGACATCAGTGATGTCACTCATTGGTTTTCTGAAGACGCGTTTTGAAGCTGACTGGCAGTCGCCATATTGGAAATGCTGACGACCCCCTTACTCTAAGTCAATCTGGTAACAGAAGTAAGTGGAGCTGAAGCGGGTCTTAAGCATCCTGGCAAACCGCTACAATGCGCCTGCCTGTCAGTCAATCAGTCACGTCTCCTATTGTGCTCAACTCTCATCTCACAAAAATAGATGACTGGGGGATCTGCAGGTGTGGATGCTATTGTTGATGTAGCATATTGGAACGATCATAACACCAGCAGATAAATGGTATAACAGCAGCAAGCGAATCTTTAGTTTTAAATTTGAGACATCGCACTTCAGTGGACATATCAGTGGATGTCTCTCTCTCCCCCTCTCTCTCTCTCTCCCTCTCTCTCTCTCTCTCTCTCTCTCTATCTCTCTCTTTGTCTGTTGGATGGCGACTATATATAGAATTTATAAAATGGGCAGCAAATATATACCGGCAGCTTGCCGAGTATCATTAAAGAGTGAGAAAGCTTGTGTTTACATGCTGTGGAAAACATTGTCTTTCTGCCTTTAACGATTTGAAATAATCATTTGGATGAAAGGATCTTAACAAAAGACACGATTACTACCTTTTCGATGGCTTTTGACCATCTTACAGTGTGTATTACCTGAGAGCTCAGTTGCCATAAAGACCACAGTTTACCACTGAAGCACCGTTCCTCATGTGCTTAGTAGTGTCTTTTACAGCAAACAAACCTGTATTTTTTAAATAACTCACAGATTCTTAGAAGTGACATCATCAGCCTCGCATGTTATAATAATGGTGTCTTTGTAGATGGAATCATCATGTTTTTTCCCTAGCTGGATAAATAGTGTTTTGTCTGAAAGCTTTGGTCATAACACAATTTGTTTTTTTTCCAGATTTTGGCTCTACTTTCATTTCCTGTCAGCAAACATACGGTGAAATTGCACCATCAATCAACCTGTTTCTTGCTGTAGAGCGCTTGTTAACTTTGTTCAGTGGAACTCTATATATTCTTCACAGACTGCTCTTTTTTTCCCTCGTACATTGTTGGCAGTATGCAAATAAACCGGAGAACAGCTCCCACTTGCCTCCTGAAGCATTTGAAATGTGTCTGGACAGCTCTGAGAGAAGGATTGGCTACATAAAGCTACCACAGTAACAGTAATATGTGCACTGAATCATTCATGAACTTTGAATGCTTTTATAACCACAATAAAATAAACACACACGTATGACAATAATCACAAAATGAATCCACCTGCAACAGCTCCCATAAAACCCTACCTTGGGTCTCTTTCTCTTAATAAGATGCTCAGTCTTAACCAGAGCTGCAGGGACTAATTAATGAAGCAGCCAAACTTCCCTGAGTGTTGGTTTTTCTCTCGTACTTACAGCAGTCATACAGTATTTCTGCGTTACAAATAGGCAGTATACACAAATAAAAAATAAAAAAAATGACAGAGAAGGAGGAAAGGAGGGAATGGAAGCTGAGAATGCAAATGCTCGAACAGGAAAGAGATTTGCTTGATGTTAGCTTGAGTCTTTTGTTAGAAAAAAAAAAAACACATTATTCTTCGCCTCAAGAAAGGTTTGGAAACATGTCACATCCGATCATTTCAATCCGCTTAGCATAATTTCATCATTTCTTTTCCTCACATTTCTGCATCTCATTACATCCACTGACTGTGATTGTGCTATGTGTATATATTCAGAGACATGTGTTAATCTGCTACTTTCTACGTGCTTTATCTCACATTTAACTGAATCAGGATGTCATGACATCACCAGAAAACCTTGAATACTCTTCCATGAAAGTTTGACTTTCTTCTTCGGCTCTCTGTTTCCTATCTCATCACTTACTTTCCTCTATACAACTTCTTCCCCTTTGCCAACTATCAACTTCGGGCTCATATTCACCTCATATGATATTTTTTTCCAGGCAGAACCTTTTTGTCTTTGGCGTCAGTCTCTCATTTTCTTTCTCAGTTTGGTTTTCCTCCTAAATCCGACTTTCTCTGCTTTATGCTGCAGATGCATCGGCTGCAGTGCTGGGAGGCCCTGCGTCTCCTCTGGCTGTCCAGGTATCTGACGTCAACAAGGACTATGTGTTCCTTACCTGGCAGCCACCCAGCGCTGATGGATCCTCACCTGTGCAGGGATATTATGTAGAGAGGTGAGGATCACACTGAATCACCCCAGCTTCTAAAAGTCCAAATAAGTGACGATAAGAGTTTCAAACTTTAACAGCTGTTTTACATGATTGGTTTGCTTATTATAAAGAATTGATTTCATCGATTGACTTTCAAACAAGAAGAATGGGTACAAGGTGGTGGGGGGAGGGGAATCAAATGCAGCTGTCCAGGCAGGTGAGGACAGTTGAATAATTTATTTGAAACAGGTGAAATTAAAAATGATTGCTAGCATGGGTAGAATCCAGAAAGGCAGTTATAAGTTACAAACAGGTGCAAGTAATAAAGAACGTAATTATGAGTCATGGGACAAAGTAAATGGGACAGGTCAGAGCATCTCAGGACATCTAGTGGATGGATTAAGAATGGCAAAGCAGACGCCTGGGAAAGGAGAGATGTGGCTGAAGGGAGAGACAGAACGGCAGATTGGAATAAACTGGGCTGAGGCGACGTTTCACATTACACATTTCATTTCATATTTGATGTATTTCATATTTGATTTATTTTCTAATTTCAGTGCCCAACACAATTAAACAAAACATAAAATATTTTCTTATAATACTGAAACACTGTCCATGAGCAAACAGGAGCAGGAAGAAGAAAAACTTATAAAAACCTGCTCCTTTAATATAAAACTGATTCAAATGTTAAAGAACTCTACTTTTTATTTTTTCTGCTTCTTTTGTTTTGAATATTTAGATTATGTGCTTCACTAACAACAATAATTTAGAGGTTAATTAGTAGAATTAGTTTTGGCACTGCATGGCTAGAAATATTCAGACAAAGAGAACATGATTACATTGAGATTACGTTGATTAAATTACGTCAAAAGGTTTTCTAGATCGTTTCTTCATCAATGATCTGAAGGGATACTTTTCTGTAGGGAAAAAAAAAGATGGTGGTGTCTTCGACCAGCAGCGGTGTCGCACCCGCACAGAGTGTACACAGTAATCATCAGCCCTCAATAACTTGTTAACATCAGAGTAAAATACTCCCAGAGGAGAACAGTGACTGCACTTTTCTCAAACAGCATCATCTCATACATATGTGTATGCTTGTTCCCGCCTGTGTGCATGATCATTAGAGCATTAGTGTGTGTGGTTTTAGATAATATTGCAGAATGTATGCCTTTGTGTTCCTCCATATTTAATTCAGTGCAGAGGCCACAGCTCCAGATATTATTGGTTATTGGGTGAGCAAAGAAAAATGTAAGATACCTCCCAGTTCCCTAGCAACCTCCCTATAGTTAGGAAACTGCACATTTTTCCTGTCTTTGTTGTGTTTGCAAGTGGCAGTAGTTTGTTATTGATGTTGTATAATCTGAGCATGCCTTCTACTTGAGAAATCTGTTTGTGTTGTGTTTGGAAGCCCATTATTTTCACTTCTCTGGTCACAATAATAGGTCTTGGTGGGGTATTTACTGACTAAGATGTGTTGTTGTGCAGGCTAAAATGGTTTCGCAATTGTTTTTTTATAATGTTACACCCTGCAGAGTGCACACAATGTGGTTCACACATGACACATTGGTTCTTTATTTACCTCTCATTCAATTCTATTTTTCTTTCTTTCTTTCATTTTTAAATTTCTTTCTTTATATATTCTCTCTCTCTCTCTCTCTCTCTCTCTCTCTCTCTCTCTCTAAGGTGTGAGGTCGGTAAGGGTGAATGGATGCGCTGCAATAAGCACATTCAGAAAATGTGCTACTACCCAGTTTTTGGACTAAAAGAAGGAAGTCGGTACCAGTTCAGGGTTCGGGCTGTAAACCAGGCTGGAGCAGGACGCCCCTCCATGGCGACTGATCCTGTCCTCACCACAGACCCCTTGCAGCACACCAGGACAATGGGTAACACATAACATACTTTTACAGTCGTAATGTTACACCACCACTGAATGAAAACACATAGTGGTTTGAAAGCAAAAACTTTGTACCACTGGACTTAGCTGGAATATAATTCAAAAATCAAAGTTAAATCTGTGTGCTGACCATGACCCCTTCTTGAGAAATCTAGTAATTAGTAAAGTAACCATAGTAACACATCCATGTTACCAAATGTGTGTTGGGTTTTGCCCTGAAAGCAGTTGGAAAGCAAAACATTTCCTAAGCTTTGTGTTTTAGCTGCTAGGTCCTCGTTACAGACGGAATTAAATTATGCGAGCGAAGCAACCATACAGTAGACACGCCCCTCTATGTCATGGTTCTAGACGTCTCTTTTTTGTCCTGTTCACATGACGATATAAGCGTTTTCTTCAGTAACAAATGCTCATGAGCAATTATATTCTGTCTTCTATAGATTTCAAACGTGTTATCAAATTATATTAAAACAGCAGAAGTGCCGTTTATCCTCAAAACCACACATGGGTTCACGAGGCGCTTATTCAAAATCATAGTCATGGGAACTGTCAAATGAATAAGTTTAGCATTTATTTTTACAGCACATGTCGCATGTTGGATTTTGGGTAATGTAGGAGAGGATGGGGAATGCTTGGATTAGAAGGATGATATATTGATTGTAAAAAGAATACAAACATGAGTCCAGCAATGTTTTATGAATGCTGTTAAGTCCTGATTAGAGTTCTATTGTAACTTGACTTGTTCCAGATCTAGTTTCTATCAGTTTGATATGAATATATTTTCTGAACAAGACTAAATGAAGCAAGCTACATGTAGATTGTTTGCTAAGTTGACAGAACAGCTTTAGAGTGATTTGGCATACAAACTACAATCCCTGAATCTGCTTCAAAATCTTCCATCTCTGTTCAGTTGAGTTATTTGGTGTCTGTGGCACCATTTCATTAATTTCCCCATTAGCTTTGACAGAAATAAATTAAAAAATTGGAGTGAGTCAACAAAGAGCATCTTTAGCGTTTAGGAAACTCATTCCTATGTTGGTTCACCTCAGTGGACTCGGTTGCTGGTGGGTGTGCAAAGATATTAGCGCTGAAAACAGATGTAGGTGTGTGGATGTTTATCTCATTTTCTAGAGCCGGAAGGTTCTGCAGTTTGTTTCTGTAACAGCTTCTTAATGGCATCCTGGAGAGGACGACTTAGAAGATTAACTTAAGATGTTTGGGTTTTGTTGAATACTTCTTTAAAGTGAGGGAATGAGAACGATCTAATGAGATCTTGTGTGCAGTACCTCACTCAGTTTGTGGGACTGTGTATGAAAATGTGTGTGAAACTGTGTGTGAGACTGTGTGCTCGTGTGTATGTGTGTGTGTGTGTGTGTGTGTGCGTGCATGTGTGTGCGCGTGGAGGGAGGACAGATGGGCTGTGGTCAGAAGCTGTGGATCATTAAACACAGATGAAGGACGGACAGAAGGTTGACTTGCCTCCAGCCTGCTCTCCATCCTCCCATGTCCCTCTCTGTCACCTCTTTGTATCACCGCTCTCTTACCGTGGCTGCTCCTCTAACATTAACACTTAATAGTGTTATCATGGGCTCTCATAGAACTTCATTATCCTGATATTCTCCTTCTTTATTCCCTCTACCCCTTCTCTCTCATTCCCTCCTTTTCTCAGAGGTCACGGTAGACAGAGGGAGGAAGATCACCATTACAAAAGATGAACTTGAAGGTGAGAATGCGATACGTTTCTTTTACAGTGTATAATTTTGCTGTAAAAAAAAGATGCCTTTTGAACATGCCTGATCTTTTACTGGCTCACAGGGTGCTGCCTTCTCCTCCTCCCGGGCCTGTAGCATAACGCATCTCCATATTATATTTATCAACAAGCTGCAGTTATTGTACGGCTGAGGCGATGAGCGTTTGTTCCATTTACAGAAGTGAGGAGAGTCCCTGGTCGGTTCCCTCTAAATGCACATGATGGCCTGAGGTGGAGTGAATGCCTGTGAAGAGGGCTGATAACCTTGGAAATGAAACTCACAGACAAAGAGCGATAAAAGGAGAAGAGTAGGAGGCAACCAGAAAACAAATGTAGCAAAGACAGGGCATTCACACACTCTTTCATACATCCTACTCTGTGGCGGAGGTCTAGAGCGGAGAGTTTAATCGACATAGAGGAAGCCATGCATACATGAGTATTTGTGTGCAAACTCAAAACGACTGAAAATTACATTCAAGCAAGCTAAAATATACACCGGTATGTTAGAGTACAACAAAGCTACAACAGTGAAAAATGTCTCCTCACTACAGACAGCACTAGAGGCACACACACACTGCTCCTGCCAGATCAGCATCTCTGGTTTCTCTGCACTCACTGTGGTCTGGAATTCCTCTCTGATCCACACGCCAGCTCTACAGGGGATACAAACAGGGAGACAGAAAGACTTTTGTCTAAATCTGAAAAACTTCTGTCGTCCTTGAGTCACTTGGAGTATCATTGAAAGTGTGCTGATGTAAGCCATTTAAATATCTTTTCTGGAATGTTTATGTATGAGGCATAGAGGCGAAAGTGGGGCTCCAAGGTTAATCTTACCAATTGTGTGCTTGACTCCGATTCACCACACAGAAATGTCACGTTTCCTGATGCCATTACTTTTAGAAAAAAAAGAGAATAAAAACGGCAGAATCTGGGCGAGCACTTTTTGGACTCCATATTGACCTTTTTTTTACACTTTTTTTCTTCTTCGTCATCCTCCTCCTTCCCATCTCTTGTATCTGCAGGTCAGGTCAGAGCTCCTCTACCTCCCACAGATGTCCACGCCTGCGAGGTGAGCAACACCTACGTGGTGCTGAGCTGGACCGAGCCTGAACCCAGAGGCAGAGAACCGCTCACCTTCTATGTGGAGCGGGTCAGTTTTTTACTCCACACACACACACACACACACACACTTGGGTACACACGTTTAAATTACAATAACTCTAGGGTTCTTGGTTGGCAGTTATCCCCTTGCTTCTCGCCTTCACCTCTTTCCTATTAAAGCTCCACACTTAAGGTTTAGCAAATCAGCTACAAATCACTTTTCTGCTGACTGTTTTCAGACAAGTACTGCAAGTTTTCAGATTGCTTTCTCACCTTCAAGACAGACTGTAGTTTAAGTCCACACACTTGAAACTGGCTACAAAGGCAATCCATCAGATTTATTCATTTTTTTCAGTGAAAGTTGTTTTGTTGTTAACCAGTATTAAAGTTTGGGACTATATGTAAGGGATAAAAAGCTGCTCCATTCTGGGGCTGGCTGCTAAACTTGAGCTGAATTGTCACAGAAAAAGTGATAAAAAAGGTGATTAGGAGGTGCCTGCAAAATATCAATATCATTCTTCTTTGTTATAATCATCAACAACTAGATTTTTATTTTAAACTTTACTGCACAAGTTGAAGGCTTCCCTTGCAATTTGTCTGTAAAGATTCATCTTTGGTCACTGAGGTGATGTGCTGCTGCAGGAAGGAGACTTGAAGCCTTGAAACAGTTTTTGTCATTTATCCAAAAACTTTTTTCATGTATGATTTGTATGATTCCAATTTATTTCGATTTTGTTTTTTAAATATTTGTAAACCCCGTAGAATAGTTATTAGGTGTTTTATCATCTGTCAAAAATGCTCATACTCACACTGTTGAGTGGACTTTAAATATGAAATGCATCTAAAAGTAGGAAAAGTGTTTGCTGTTTGTTCCGGTGTTACCTTAAGGAAGTGATGAGAAGTACACTGTGATGCTTTTTTGCTAATACAATACAATCAGATGCATTCTAACTCTCAGGTACACAAACAAGTGTTAATACATTAAAACACAAAAACACTGCCATTGTAGTTAGTAATACCTGCACACCCACTGAACACACAGATCAATGTTCTTGCATCATCACCTCCTCCACAGGCTTGTTGAGTTTGTTCAATCCTTCGCTGGAACGTGAGCCAAATGAACAGCAGGCCCTGGACCGCAGCACTAATCAAAGAGACACACATGAACACACACACACACACACACACACACACACACACACACACACACACACACACACACACTTGTGAACTCATCAACAGACCTTGATGTTTCTTTTTAATGCCAAGTGCTTTGACACATGGCATTAAAAAGCAACATCAAGGGGTTTAATTGTCTGTCGTATGAAACCTGAAAGAGGTTTCCTTCTATCTTAATCTTGATTTCAAACTATCTGGATCAGAAATGTCAAGGTCTATTTATTTTTTTCAAAGATAAGTCAAAAGTCAAATCTTATTTTAATTTGTTTATCTTTTTCCCGAAAGAAATGTTTTCCCTCAACACGAGGTTCAAAGTGAAATTGTCACCAGAATAACAAGGAGTGTTCTTCCAATACGTCAAAGTTTTCTTTTTCAACTATAAAAGGGCCTCAGCTCTCCAATATGAACCCAGACAGCCAACAGCTTCTGGCTCCAATAATCTGAAAACCGCCACAGGAAACAGACTTTTATTGGACTTTAGTTACCAGGCTAATAAAACTGTCAAACCTGTCAGAGGCTTCTTAAATAACTAAAGTCTACTGCCTCACTTCCGCTCATTTAATGAAGGGAACTTTCAAATATTCCTATCGCCCTTGAGCAAGCACTTTACAATCACCCATCTCTTTCTTATGAACTTTTCTATTGCAAGGTTTCCCCCCCACCTCTAACAGCAATTCAGAGATGGAAATACAAAGACTGGAAAGAGTATTTTGCTATACAGCACCATTATTTCTGAGAAAAGTGAAGATAAGATCTCCAGATGAGTCACTGGTCGTCAAGCTTTTACATGGGCCACTCATTTTTTGGGTTTCATCTGAGAAAGTCTGCCTATTATTTATTTATTATTCTGCCTGTAAATCTTTCTGCCCATCTCTTCTGAACCGCTAATCTTTTCCTCCTTCATGCCCTTGTCCGTACATAAAGCGGCTTGCTTTAAGACTAGAGGATCGTAAGTTAACTACGGAGTATGTGTGCACATTTAAATGAAATATGGGACTTTTTAAAGAGTATTTGGCAGTCTCGGCAGCCCTTCACTCTGGTACAAATTGAATCCTCGAGCATATTTGAAGGGCACTGAATAATGAGCACAGCCCTGAGATGAATTCATCTTTTGAAATCATCTTCGCATTTTTCTTACACTGGTCACGGATCAGTCCCTGGAAGGGAAGAGCAGCTGGGAGCTGGCCAGTCTGGACACAGTGGTAAACTCTCCAAGGTTCCCGGTGTTTGACCTGATCAAGGGCAAGCGATACTGCTTCAGAGTCCGCTCCATCAACAAGTACGGAGTCAGTGACCCCTCTGAGCCGACTCAACCCATCTCCTTGGGCAAGCCACAAGGTGAGAAACTGTATTATGTACTTTACTGATTTATGACTCCACTACAGTTGTTGTACACTGCTGTCATGCAAGACAACAGGTAATGTTTAACATATTTGTAGAGATATTAAAGGTACAGTCAGAAGCTTGTAAACACAACATTTCACTTGGTCCCCTCCTCCTGTGTTGATCGCCACCCGAAGCGCTCGCCCACTGCCTCTGACAGCAGTTGTGAGAACACCCACCCAGGCCAGCAGCCACCTGCAGTATCACGTTTCTATGCACAGCCTGAAACTTCAAGTTATTTGCATTGGTTGATAGCCAGACTCTGCGTATCCGTTAACTGCTTGTACCTACACTGCAAGCTACCTGAGAATATTACATTTGTTGTGATGGAAGAGACGATGATTTAGTAAGATAGCACAAGCTGACAGCTGGTGTTTGGCATCTGCCTGTCCAACAGAAAGGAGGCCATCTCGGGGGGGGGGGGGACAGTGACACAGCCACCACCACACATGTATGGAGGCCCACAAGTGACGATTGAACAGAATTACTTTTGTATATATTCAATATTATATTCTGCTAGGAAATATATGCTCAATCTATCTTTAAATACAAGCTAAATAAAACTAAAAAAAAAACTGATTTGAGCTGTATATGCACTTAAACGTTTAATATTGCAACCATCTACTATATGAAAAGGGGACTTCTGTTGAGCAAGAAGTTGTCAGATCATGTTCTTGAGAGAAAGAAAACCAAAAAAAAAGTAATATGAAGTTAAAATGCATCACTGGATAAAACGTGTTGTTTCTAAAAGCCCTCTGTACATTTTGAAACATCTAGGTATTTATGGATTGGTTTATGTCTTTTAGTTTATTTCCATCCTGCAATTATTTCAGTAAAGGTTAACTTGATGACTTTTCATCCTGTCCCCGTCAGCTGTGCCAGCTCCGCCTCACTCTGTCCTGGCCTTCAGAGACACAGACACCTCAGTGCTGCTCCAGTGGCAGGAACCAAAGGCTAAAGACGACATCCTGGGCTACTACCTGTACTACAGTGAAACTGGCAAAAAAGAATGGCAGACTGTCAACAACAAGCCTATTAGCCAAAACAGGTAACTGGGAAAGAAGATGTTCTCTTGTCATGTTTCTGATCAATGGTTGCAGGTTCAAGAGCTGGGGCCTTGCTATGTACATTTCATTTGAAATCCAATAAAAAGTCACAGCTTTGAAACATTTCCAAATCTACTTGAAGCTGAAGATGCTCACTCTCTCCTCCTCAGATTTACCGTCCATGGCCTCAAAACCAGAAGGGAGTACGTGTTCATGGTGAAGGCCGTGAGCCGAGCAGGAAACAGCAACTATTCAGACGAGTCTCAACCCATCCTCGTCAAATCAGCCATTCGTAAGTACCTGTCAGCTAAGTCCGAGACCAGTGGATAAAACATTTCTTTAAGGAAACAAAAGTAAACACAAAAAATGTCGGATGTTTTTTTATAAACTGAGTACATTTTGGTTCTAGAAGTGAAGTTTTTACTAACGTAATAAGCATTGGGGACAAAGCTCACCACTGTTTGTTGTTCTATGGATGGACCTTTGCTTGGTGCCCCACTCTCAAAGTCTGCTTATTAGTTAGTGACTGCTATGCTAGTCTTTACCTTGAAAAGTTTACATTGACCTCAGTTACACCGTTTTTAAAGGAATTCCACACAGAACACATTGCTGGCTGCAGAAGTCTGAATTATTCTCCTGTTCTGAAACTCAGCACCACACTCATTTTACCAGCATCTTGCACTAATGCTTTCTTTGTCTTTTGGTATATTGATGACTGATAGCAGGCCGCTTTAAGATGTGCTACAGCCATTGTCTGGCAGACGGAGTATTATATCACAACCAGGCGCTGGTGAAAATATATTTACAGGTTGAGGTTATCGTCACATAAACTCTTCTTCAAATTTAAAATCCCTTTATCCCTTTATTACAGCTTTTCAAGTAATGCTAGCGAGGACATATTCCACAGAGTTTCCACATGTCGACATCCATATGTTTAGTCATTTAGCCTTCCCCAGATGACGATCAGGCAGTGAAAAATGAAAGTTTTCTGTTATTATTGGTTCAGAGCAGTGCAGAGATGTGTCTGTGGAAGAGCTGCTGACCCTCTTTGCTCCCTCCGTTGCATTCTCAGATAATGTGCTCTCAGCAGCACGCAATACAGTGCAACGATGACTCAGTTCTGCGTGCTATTCACTGCCGGGATATTCTCACATCTCTACTCCACCACTGAGCCATTACCTGAGGAAAGATGGCTGGAGTCCAACTCTTAGCAGGGATTACATCTTTATAAAATAGAATCATGAGCTGAATATTTCCTCAGTCTCATTTAGAATAGCTTAATATTGGCCCACAGTTAGGAATTTGCTACTCCAGAGGGAAGTGTTAGAGGGCCGAGGAGTTTCAGTTCAGTCATTTCTCGGTCTATTTAGCAAGAATGTGTTGCCTGCTGAGATTCTCTCCTCTGTCACCTCTCTTCTGTCACTTACACCGCCTGTTCCAGATGTTCCCTCTGCTCCCTCTGCCATCACCCTGCTGCTGTGCACTGGCTCAGAGATGGTGCTGGGCTGGAGGGCCCCTGCATCTAACGGGGGAGACCCTGTACGTGGATACTACCTGGACCAGAGAGATAAGGGCATGAAAACATGGCGAGAGGTCAACGTTAAGCCGGCCAAAGAGAGGCAGTATAAGGTCAGTGATGCTGCAGCGTGATGCAGTTATAGTGTAGTTCTGATCTTCAACAATAACTCAGACTCAAATAACTCAAACAGTGGTTGGAGAAACAGCCCGGGAATTTTGAATTCCTCATGAATTCCACAACCTGTTGACCTGGAGTAACATTTTCTTTTTTATAATTAGTATTTTTTTTAGGAACAAATGAAAATATGTTCCTCAGCTGTACTTTTTATTTTGTTCAGACAGATTAGCATAAGTTAGCATGCCAATTTGTTAAACTAACATTGTGAACATAATAAGCTCTGCACATGCTGAATGTTAAGCATTAAGACCTTGTGGCAGCAGACTCGTACTCCTATGTCTAAGTTTAGACTTTTTTTTCCCTTCCATTTCGTATGCATTAAGTAACTCAGAAAATGCTTTTATGTAAGGTGTGACTGAACTACAGAGTCTATAATGTATGAAAGCGTATCCTAGTCGCTGTCACAGTACGAGAGCAAACGGGAAAAAAAGTGCTTCTTTCTTTTCATATGTAACAATACAAATGATCTCTCCATTAAGCAGCTGCCTCAAAACTATGGCAATGTTGCCTAAAGCACCCTCATCCCACAGCGGCTGTGTCACTAGGCAACTAGTAGTGTCCATGGAGACCTGCAGCAAAGTTAAATCTTTAACCTGACTCATGGAGATTTCATGTGGTTCTAATTAGACACTGTTGAAATATGTTATGTGTGTGGTTGTTTTTTGGCTCCTGGAAAAACAAGGGCAAAGCTAATTAGAGAAAAGATGAATGAGGCCCTGCATACATCATGATTAGCCATAAACATTGAGAAGTAAAGATTGTCGAGGACTGAAGTCCCTCTTTTCAAAGAAGGATGAGAATACGCAGCTCCCCCTTTTGGGGTAAATGAGCAATTTCAGCCATTTCCCATCCTTGCTATACCTCCCTCTTGAGCTGTTATTTTAATCTGCTCGTTGGCTTCTTGCATGCGAATCAGAGTAATGGGAATATTGATTGTGCTGGGATTTTGGGCTAAAGGCCTGTTTTTCCTTTTCCTGGTTGGAGTTGTGCAGGAAAATGTAAATGACACGAGAGCTTCCACAACTTCAGCTTCAAGGCACAGAAACCACAGATGTTGACCTGCTGTGTTTTTGTTTCTTTTGGGATTGAAAATTCAACAGCATATCATTTTGAAATATCCTTTTCTTGAGTACAACACTATAACACATTTTAATCCTTTATTGAAAAGGAAAAGAACTTTCTCTTTATATGTAATGTAGTACATGCGTATGGACTTTTACAATTAAATGTCCTTCTACGGTCTAAAACCTTTTCCCGTCCGGCCACAGATACAGATCTCTCACCTTCAGGACTGAGAGAGCCACGTCAAGCTGACGCATCTATCAGGCTCAGGATCTATTTGTTCATTTATTTTTAGCACCACTCCTTTAACCTCTCTTAACAATGAATCGTTTCTGACCTATTGCTTTTAATACATTTCACCAGATAACTAGAATGTTCATTCTTTTTTTAACCCATATTGTTTTTTTGTGCTGAGCTGTGTACGCACTGATGCTCTTTTACACTATTGAAGTTCCTAACGGATAAATAAAGTTATTCGAAGTTGAAGTCCTCATTATATGTAAACACAAACGACCGCTGTAGATTTTATGTCTGGCTTTAAACATGACTGATGACGTTTTTAAATCAACAGGATCTTTAAATTTCAACTCGTGAGTGAATAAACAGACCATCTGACCCTTGACCCCAAACAGTTTTAGAGCCAACTTTAGGATGTAATTATGATATTAGAGTCAAATGCAGCCTGTTTGCCACCTAGTGGATGAAAGGTGTACTGTCGTTCTCTTATTTTGTCAGACGACTTCTGCATTTCTTACACTGTATATTGATCTGATAACAACATTTACATTATTTATTAATATGTCTGGAGAAGTATTTAGAGATGATGGAGGAGGCCGTAGGTGGGGGGAAATTGGCCTTTGGATAGGATATGCTATTACAGTGAAGTAAGCTCCTTCTGGTTGTGTCAATTAGGGAGCCGAGAGCAGCTGCAGAAGTTCACAGCTGTTCACAGAGGCGATAAAGAGGCCTCAAACTGTAAGTGGCTGTGAATAGACGGATCAATATACAGATCAATACGCCTGAATCTCCTCTCTTCACAATGCCAAAGCGCCAGGGGGCTCAGTGTCAAAAATGCTTTGCAGCAGCAGCAGCAGCAGCAGCAGCAGCAGCAGCAGCAGCAGCAGCAGCAGCAGCAGCAGCAGCAGCAGCAGCAGCAGCAGCAGCAGCAGCAGCAGCAGAGCTTATACCTTGTAAAGTAACTGCATGAGGATGTAGCTGTGCTGTACAAAGAGGGAACTTCTGTTTGACCTCCTCCGTGTCTTTCTTAAAGACAGCCAGAATGCAAGAGTGGACTGATCTATGTAAAATGTATATGAATAGATAGAGTTTAAATGTAGCAGTAAGTCTACCAAAAGCTCCAAAACAACAGCAAAAAAAAACAATCCAAGTGTTACTTATATCATGGAAAACTTCAGTAATTACGTCTCATTAAAAATAATTGCACTTTAAAAAAAATATTGTTAAGAGTTTAAGTAAATTTCCACCCAACGTGTTGTACTCAACCTCAGATATGAAGATTAAATGTTAATATAGCATTTAACCTCCATTTTTTTAAATAAATTTTGTAATGGTAAATTCTGTCACGCCTGTTTTTTTTTCTGGTTTTTTTTCTGGTCATCATCATCATTCAGTAGGAGGTAACCTGCTGTTCCGTGTGTGATACCTTTCCACAGGTTTGCAACCTGACCAGTGGACGCTTCTACCAGTTCCGTGTGTTAGCTGGCAATATGGCCGGTGTCGGGAAGCCCTCTGAGGCCAGTGAGGAGTTCCTGTGTGAGAAATGGACGATGCCCGAGCCAGGTGAGGAGAACATGTCAGTTTGTGTCCAAAAGAAACACATTCAGGTATCTCTGCACACTTAATATGTGACAGACGAGAAGGAGAGGGCAGCTTGACTTGAATCAGAGTGTTCTTAAACGCTTTTCATGCGAACACAAAAGTCTTTTCCACCATAAACATGATTCTCTATAGACTTTGCACAAACAGATTTAAGCAGAGAAATGGTAAAAGAGTGGTCTATTTACTTGAAGTAACCTCTGTCATTACCATTAAGAGCTGCAGTTCCTCCTAAAGAAACTTAGTTTACATTACTGAAAGTTTATCGGGAAGTGGTTGGGATACCATCAACAGTAAGAGGCTTTCCCATACATTCCATTTCTGTTCAAAACGGCTCCATTAAAAGTCCATCTGGCCATCTCAGAAGAAAAGAGCCAGGTCAATATGAAGTACAAGAATAAAAAACAGGCTATTTGCATATTATGCCATTAAACTGCAAAATGGAGGCAGAGGTCAGCAGTCAAGAGCATAATACAGAAGCTGCTGTAATAGCTTTAGTGATAGCCTAAAGTTAGTTCGTGGAAATCATTATGTGTTGCATTATGTATGATGAGTGTCTGTGCTGCTGAAGGGCCCTTGAGCCCTTCATTTACTAAGTATAAGTGGCTGTGTTTGAAACTGCTTTAGAAGTTAGAGAGCAGAAACTGATAAAGTCTCTCCGAATGGGTCATCTTAGGTTTCCCACCGCTGTTGATATTTAAGCAGAACGTACGTGGTAGTTGGCCGTCGGCTGTAGTCTTTTTTGGCCAAGACAAAGACGTCGACGCCACAGTCGGACTTCGTTGCTACCAGTTCTTTGCCGTCTGCTCGCTGTGTCAGGGCCTTCACAGCTAATCTCAGCCTGTAATCAGCCTGAGAGGCCAAACCCAGGCCACACAAGTCTGTAATGCACTGGACGAATCTCTCCGCTGTTCTTAAAGCTCATTGCATTGAGTGCACGGTAATAACTGCAAATGAAAAAAATCAACAACTTTATGTACTTCTCTTTCCTCTCATTTGGACTCTCTAAAAAAGCAATATACAGAGAGGTCTGCGTTACAAAATGAACCTGAAACAATGAAGAATGAGAAGTACCCCCTTCAGATTAATATTAAAAAACACACATACTCTCTGTTTGTATAAGCACACACACACACACACACACACACACACACACAGTCATTTCAGTATGTGGAGGCTCAGCCCGACAGTTTTGGCCCCCACTCATAACAGCTATATGGCATTAATATTGAGGCTGGAGAGAGCCTCTCTTACAAATGTCACTTTTAAAGCGCAGCTCATTAATCTTGGAAAATGGGCTTTCCTCCGTGCCTTTAATAATTTAAAAGTGACCGAAAATCATTAAGCAAATGAACTACCACATGGCGGCATGAAGTTTAGAGGGGTAGATTATGGAAAGTCGCTTGTTATTAAGCTTACTTTCTGTTTTGTTTTGGTTTTACTTTCCTTTGTGACAAAGAGAATCTGTTTGGTTGCTTTTGATACGGCCACTCAGGGAATATTTACAGGCACATATTAATTATTAATTCATCATTATAAGTCTTGAACAGACGCTGTGTTACTCTGCCCTTAAAGCTCCTCTGCACACTAACACTGACTCTGACATTCACCATGTCAATGACCCTCTCTCTTTCTCAGCGTGTCCGTATGACGTAGAGGTCAGGGAGGTGAGAAACGACTCACTCGTGCTGCTGTGGGCGGCTCCGTTGTACGAAGGAAGAAGCCCGGTCACTGGCTATTTGCTGGAAATGAGCCAGGGCGACCAATCAGACGACTGGACTGCTGTAACTGAAAAGCCCATTTCTGACACACATTACAAGGTGAGCGAAGCTGTAAGCTGTGTTTACGAGCTCCAGCTCAAGATAACAGACATAGTTGATGCACAATGAAAGGGCTTGAGTTATAATTTGGGTTTTTCCTTTACCTGATTTAACAGGGCAGACAATTTCTGTTGTAAAAGATGAGAGTTTTTATTAACTGTGAATGCCAGTAAATCATTCTTCTAGTAAGTCACATACCAGGAGGAGTTCAGAGTGTCTACAAAGTCATTCCTTTGGGTTTCTTTGGGCCTGAATGATTGAATAATCATAATGAATTATGGGTCTGATCAGTAAATATTTGATGTGTTTCTTATGACATCCAGGTGTCAGGTCTTCAGGCGGGTCAGACTTACCGCCTGCGTGTGTCAGCTGTCAATGAGGCTGGAGTGAGCTGTGCCTCCCTGCCCACTGAGCCCGTCACAGCTGAGACCAGACCAGGTCAGTTACTGGGGCTCAAGATATACAAATACATTAATAAAAAAAACTCCTCCAAGGCTTTAGGAGGAGATGGACTGAACACAGTAGCATACAAAGCAGTGTGGGCTTCTATTACGAGAATTACGCTTTGTTTTTGAGAATTTGTTTTCTTGCCAAGGTTGCACAAGAAGAAAGATACCACTGTGGTGTCCAGACATTATATATAGTGGTTGAGCCAGGAAATGGTTAGCTTAGCTTAACATAATGACTGGAAACAATGGGAAACTGCTAGCCTGGCTCTTAACAAAGGCCTCTGGCTTTGTATTTAGCAGATAACCATGAAACTGATATGGACGGAATAAACAATTTTCCCCAAATCCTGAACTATTTATCTTTAAATGCCCTTGTTATGCCCATCCAGAATATGGATTCGATTATTTGCTGATTTGTGAAATACTTTTACATTATAAAGTGTTTTGATTAAAATGGAACCAATGAAATATTGGGACATACTTTAACATATTTCAAAATATATATTCAATAGTAAATTAATTATAAACTAGATTTAGAGCATATAATAAGTATGTTTAATAATTTCCTCAGCTTCTTTACCATTCTGTGAATGTCCGTGTCTGTAGCAAATTGCCGACCATACTGAAATTATAATTTATAATAGCCGGCTCTTTCATCCTCAGGCACCAAAAACATTGAGGTTGGAGTGGACGACGATGGTTTCATATTTCTGGGATACGAGGCTGATGAGATGAACGATGAGAGCAAGTTCCTCTGGGGCAAAAATTACACAGAGCCGTTGACGCTGGAAGAGTTCGGGCAGAAACCAAGAAGAATAGGTGGGGAGGTTCACGAAAACAATTCTGACTCTTGTGTCTTTACTTTTTTTGAAATCCAGGAATCTTGAGTTTGCATCGACTCTCACTGAGTTTCCACTGAGCGCAGGCTTCTTTTAATTATCCCGTCTTGTAGCTTTAGGGAAGCTACATGCCAATTTTCAAAATGTTCCACACTGTTTCAGTCCTGATTGCATGAAAAACAATCATTTTATTTTTAGTGAAGTTGGCTGAAAGGTATTGGATATCACTTTTGGGACAGAAAAATATTGTGAATTCTGATGGCTGGCAACATAGAGCAGCAGTCTGTGCTGTGAGCTGGAGGGGTATTAAAATAGAGTGAAAGATTAGGTCTTGATATTTCTGTTTTTCAATTTGTACATCAGGTCTCTGCTGACCTTCACAGACCCCTCTGAGGAGGATCTGGGTCTCTACACGGTTGAGATGAGCGACAACCCGAACCTGTCGTCCAGCTACGACTTCACTGCTGAAGGTAAACTGAAACACACAGTGGACACAATTACAACCCAGCCGTCTGCTGTGTCTCTTAAAAAAAGCTGATGGCAGCAGGAACAGCAGACTTTTAATTTTGAAGGCTTTGCAAGTTTTTCAAATAATCATTTCCCTCAGAACGCCTTCCACAAGGTCACACATCCCACTAAGCATTAAACTAAGCATATGATTTCAATCAACTCTCAGTCATGCAAACCATTGTTCCTCTGTGTTACAAAATGTGACCGCTGATCAAAGTTTAATTAACCTTCCAAAACTCTTTCACTACTTTTCAGACCTTGAAAGACTCAAAGAACTCAGCTGGGAAGTCAGAAACCCGTGTATGTACCAACGGCATTGTGCTGTATTATAATCAATCTGCACACACCTGTAGTCAGCATTTCCTAAGGTGCCCCTTGTTTTTTGTTTTTGGGTAGTGATAGCTCTGAAGTCCGGCTGGCAGGTGGAGGTTTCAGAGAAAGGTGACGTACGTCTTTGGCTGCAGACTGAGAGTCTGAGTGACAACGCTGAGCTCCGTCTCATCTTCAATGACCAAGAAATCTCCAGTACCCCGGTGAGAAGCCACTGTGCAGGTCGTACTGACACAACCAATTATATCTTATCAGGGTTAGAATATTATAATGCCAACAAGTGCTAAAAAAAAAAACACCTCTCATACACAGGATTTGGAAGAGATTCACCAGACATCTGTTGTGTTTATACATTCTGGAAAAAGCCATATTATCAGACAAATCTGGTCATTTTTACTTTAACTCAACCTCGTCACCTTCCTGTCTTTCAAGTCGACCACTTTATGGTTCCCTAGTTTGGGAATAGAAGGACTTGAAGTCAAGACACATGTAGAAAAAATCTTTATTATTAAAAGAAGGAACATTTTCCATTTCCCTTTTTTATCAAAATGAAAAACAGAACAAGACTCTTCTGTATGTTTTTTGTTTTCTATATTGAGAAGCTAATTGGAAAAAAAGCTTGGTCCTGAATTTCGTATTTCTCATTTCAAAACGGAAATTTGTTGGTAAAGTACATGAATACAGAGGATATACTAAGCTGAAGGTGGAGGAGAGGCCAAAATCTGGTACAGGTGTTTGATTAGTTTAGATGTCAAAGAAAGGCCAAGGGAAGAAGAGACCATTTGGACGACTTTCCTTCAAGCAAACATTTTTTGGGTTGTAAATCCTGAGTTTGTCATCTCCTAATATTGAGTCTCTAGTCAGTGGAGTTAATGAAGTCATTGTGATGAACATTTCACCACTCTTTTGGCGTATTTCCTGTGTCATATTTTGCACTAGTCAGGCTGAAGTTTGTATGCACTTGATGCTCAAATGCCTCCAAAAACGACCTCCAAATCAGTTACTGTCATAAAACAGCGAGATGAAAGCCCACCCCATTTGCCAGCAAAACAAAAAGCAAATTTCATGAACACTGTTACCTATCATTGACACAATAATGTTCCTCCGCTGAGAGAAAAGCGACACAGTGATTTCACCTGCCATCGTAGAGAGCCAAAACAAAGCAACACTATAATCATCGAGGAGCATAAACTGAATGTGAACAAAACTGCTCAGTGCTGATATGTGTTATGACATCAGGCTAAAAATAATCAGCACCACCGTCAAGGTTTATTGAGCCGTGCTCTGATGTGTCCACAGAGGGAAAACAAACACGACACAGTGTGTTTGCTGTGGTTTCACAACTCTGTCGGATACACTTTGTGTGTCCGCGCTCGCTCGTGTTGGTGCGAGACGGGGGCCCATGCTTTATATTCAGCCGCTTTCATTCATCGCCTGTGTTTTCATTTTCATTTATTCTATTATTTTCCAATATCACAGTACCATCTGAGCAGTACTGCTTGTACATTCATTCTAAATGATCACAGCTGAGGTTTGAGTGAATTCAAAAGCCATTTAGCTGATTAGGGCCCTTAGGCTCACCATACATTACAAATCACATCCAACACTGCGGCCCATCATCATGCGAGGCACATACTCATCTTGATGAACATAAAAGCCATGGCAATGAGCTCAAAGGCTCCTGTGTGTCCCTGTTTGTTTGTGTGTCAGTGTGCGTATGTGTGCATTCTACAAACGAGGAATATTTCATCTACAGAGTGTGTTTCTCATTTCAGACTCGTTTCATGCACCCTTCACACTTTATTCCCTCTATACAACTAACCCATCTATACAGTACCTATCTGCCATCCGTCTGCTTACGAGCTGGCGTGTGCTGTATGTGCGTTTACTACTTGTTTGCTCCACCGCAGCGCCGTAAGATCAACTTCGACAAGTCCAAAGGTCTGGTGGAGATCCTGTTTGATCGGCTCTCTACGGAGGACCAGGGCTCGTACACGGCCCAGCTGAGGGACGGCCGCGCCAAGAACCAGTTCACTTTGGTCTTTGTGGATCAAAGTAAGCCCTTCACTCAACCATTAAAAGCAATAAAGATAAACAATAGAACCAATGAGGTTTCACAGTGTTAGTGGGACGTCACACCAGCTCTGTTTAAAGTATGTTCATCTGTACCTTGATGTGGTGTTTTTTGTTCCTGAAAGAGAGTGTGTTAGGCTGAACTTTGGCCTGTCACTGCGATTGAGGTCATGTAGTCTGTTTCTATGTGCAGATTCTGAACAGTTGTAGCAACGACCCTGAAGTTAAGAACTAACACCACCATATTGAAGATGTCATCTATTTAATGTTCGTTTAAGAATTTCCTCATCACATTTGTTCCTGCTGGTGAGAATAAACCTTTGAAAAAGTTGGTAATCACAAAGGCAAATAACAGTTTAAGCAGACTCTAAAGTGTCCTCCAAGTTATTCACCCTATATGATATGACCCCTGTGTCAATGAAATTCTGGCCAGGACTCTGTCTGGGATATTTATGGGGCTCAGTATGAAGTTTGTATTCAGGAAGATGTTTAAAGTCAGTTTATTTTGAGCAATTAATTAATTAATGGAGAACAAAACATCTCCTGGTGAAAATTGTTTTATTTTAAAGGAGCAATATGTAACTCTGACACCTAGTGTTTAAAATGGGTACTGCAGTCCAAATTCAAAATATTGAAGAGAGCCCATATTTATCTTCTCTTACTTTACTGTGTTAATGCAACATGTGTGGGTTCTCTTGTCATTTGAACTGAGCACAGGTTGCTGATGTTCATTTCAAAGATAATTTTTCTGTCTTTATTTGTGAACAAAGACATGAATGGATTCTGTATTTTACGTTTGTTAACTTTAATTATTCGTGTTTGGCAGAAGTGGCCTCAGGAAATTGGAACAGCGGGGAAAGTGATTTTCCCCTCTTTGTGATTCGACTGTTTTCCTCTGAGTCTGCTATTTCTGTGTCCCTGTCAGAGTTTCGTCAGACGCTGGCCCTGGCGGATAAAAACAGACGCGACCAACAGAAAAGTCTGGTGAGCAGTCTTCAAACATCAGTAACACACTTCTACAAAGTAAACACAATAAGAGTGTTTGCTGCTGGGCCCACAGCGTGACTTGAATCAAACTGTGATTGTAGAAAATATTCAATGTTTTACCTACTGCTGAAACAGAACCTGTGTGTTACCAGCGGATAACAAAGTGAGTGAGTAACTTAGAAAGATACAAACATGACTCACTGTCATGTCAATCCAAGGTTATCTACAGGGGTTCCCAAACTTTTGCAGCCCCAAAATAAGGGTTTCAGAGACTAGGAAACAACTGTCCCTTGAAGTGGTTAAAGCATTTAACATTGAGCACAGCCACAAGCACTAGGAGGCCTCTCCAAACACTGGCATTAGACCAAAACAAAAGATAACATACTTATTTTATATTTCATTGTCTCTCTGTGCAATTTTATCTATTTAGAGCAGCAGACAACAAAATTGTTGTGGTCATGTGCAAACTAACATTTAACAGCTTTTTTGTATATCCTTTCAAAATGATGGGTAAAATATGCTATTTTAAAACCATTTTGAATCATTTCCTTCTAAGTTTTTGCAAGGCATCTCACGACCACCCTCACGGTGTCTTGCGGCCCCCACTTTGGGAACCACTGATCTATTGCATGCAATAGCTAAAATATATTTTTCATGATGACACAGCTTTTTGTCAAACTAAAGAGGACATAAAGAAAGGAAAGAAGCTCCCTGTGATACTGAACTCCATGTTTTTTTTTAACACATGACCTCTCAGATGTGATAAGGAGAAGTTATACATGTCTGAGTGGAATGTCCCAGTGTCCTGAAAAACCACTCTCTCACCACATGTCCAATATTCAAAGTCCATGTTACACATTTCAACACGTTTGATCTTCTTTATGCACTAACTGCAATTCAAAAGAGATATTAAACCAAGTGGGACAAAGGTTTCCTCCTGTACTGTGAATATTCCCTCTAGGCGTATTTCAGGCCATGCTCTGGTTCATCCTGCAGCCATAACTTTAATTGTCATAAATTGATCAGTTATGAAGAATTAATGTTGCATTGCTTGTTCATATAAATTGATGTGTCAGCGTCAGTACTGATGAGTAATCATGTTTCCTGCTTTTCAAAGGACCTTATTTCGAGGAATTGTTGTCGTGGAGTGTGAACGAGGACTGTGAACTCATCATAAAGTGCAAGGTACGTTTTCGTTTAGCAGAGTATTTAAGCGAACAGCAACAACAGAACTAAATTAGCACTGGATTAAGCGCCAAGGAATGTCATATCTTTTAACACATTAGAGATTAAATCAACACAAAGCATGTAAATATAGTTAGCTTTTAGGCGACAATTAGCCGGTGGTTATGTTGCGCGCCCCATTTAAAGAGACAAAACTATTTAAAAAGGAAAGTGGGGCACTTTTACCTCAGGTGTGTCATTTCTCCACATACTCAGGTGACAAACACAAACAAGGACACGACTCTGAAGTGGTTTAAAGAAAGTGCGGCGCTGACCCAAGTTGTGTATGACCATGCATCAGGAGTCTGCACACTCAGCGTCCCACAGGTAACCGAAATGTTCCTGCTATGTTTCAGACAACTCGAGGCGTTAGCTTATTCTCCAATTCTCCAGTTGTCAATATTTGATATTTGAAGTTGTTGATGGTTTTATTTGATTTACCAGAGGTGATGTTGTTGTTTTCAGGTCACAAAGAAAGAGGCGGGTTCTTACAGAGCTGTGGTGTCAGATGGACGAGGAGAGGACGTCAGCACCTTAGAGTTACTCCATGACGGTGAGATCTGACCTTCACAACAACTATCACTCCCAATTTGGTTCTGTTTACATTTAAGCTGCCACCTCTTCCATCTTTTTATTTCCCTCTTTTCGCTTATGTGTCCTTAGCATTCAGCCACCCACCATAAATCTTGCATTTAGTATTTGTTGTGTTCCAACGACAACATAAAATGACTCTCTGAACGCTGAACTGTTATTTTCCTTTACAGAGTACGACAAGCTCCTGCAGCAGCTGGGTAAACAGTGTGGTGAGTTATTCACACTCCGTCTTTACACAACAATGTTTGTGAAAGGTGTCAATTACTTTTTATTTACACCAGATGTGCTGTGTTGGCCATGTTAATTAATCATGTGTGTTGTTTCAGAATATTAATGTCAGTTTCAGTTTCCCAGATAAGAATAAAGTAGTTTTAGAATAGAATAGAAAATACTTTTTTAGTCTACTTTTGCATGCAAAGGCTTTGACTTATGTGTGCACTTATGTGTCGTGCAGAAGGTAATGGGTTACACGTGCAGAGGGAAACTGAATCGTTTGAAAATAATCAGAGGCTGTACCTTCCCTGTCTCTTGGTTTCTGCAGCATTGTCGGCCAGCCCGCTCAGGATTCAGAGCACCTCTGAAGGAGTTATGATCTACTGCTCACTCAAATACTATATAAGCTACATGAAGAACAGCTGGTACTACGGGTGAGTCCACCTGCAGAGAAACTCCTGGCCTCACAGCGTCTTTTTGTTTCTCTATTTTGTTCCTCCTGGTCTTCTCATCTCTTCTCTTCTCAAACATCCTACTACCATGATATCAATCTCAGAGCAAACAGAAAGTAAGTTTCCATTCCTTAAAGGCGTCTTGACGAGCAGAGGAGCTTCGGGGAGAAGCCATGAGTGAGGCGTATCCTTTATAGTCGTTTTTTGCATCTGTGGCGTGTAAAAGAGACGGGACACACGACAGGTATAAAGAAATACATGTACCAAAATCTACTTTTTTGAACAGTATTATGCTCATCAGGTTATTTATTATAGCAGTGAGCTAAATAATTGATGTTAAAAGCCTGTTACCTCAACTCCTCCCTCCTTGTGTTTGTTCCTTGTCTCCTCCGCTTGCATCTCAGATGGGAGGGACTAAGATGTGAGGAGAGGAGAGGGGAGGAAGTAAGGGAAGGAATTGAGGATGTATAATGTGAAAAAGAAATGAGACTAAAGGTCAGGAAGGATGAGGAAGTATTCCAAATAAACTTTTAAGAGTGTAAGAGACAAAATCTAGAAAAGTCCTTATTAAAAATGCTGCATGAGAAAGAAACTGGCACATAATAAATCAGAACTGGCGCATAATAAATCAGAACAACCTTAAGTTACAACCATTTTCTACTGCAAGCCACAGAGGTACAACGCTGTAATGCAAAGCTGCAAACATGAGGATGGCCACACGTTACGGCTACAGCTGTATGACTTCCTCCACCAGTGCAGGAGTCCGTGGTAAGGTAGTGTAGGTTCAGATGCAGCTCACGTGTTGTGTGTTTATGTACACATAAGAGACCACAAAGAGAAACCTCACATACCGCTTTAACATGCTGACAATACACACATAAAACCGCATGCAGCTAGGAATGTGACATTTCCCTTAATGATGGCAAACTCTTCACCAAAGTTCAGCTTCTAAATCGTTGATGAGTTTGACTGCTTTAATGAGTTCAGCGTGTAAATGTGACAGTGGAGCTGAATCTTAATGTCTGCATGCAAATATTCTGCTGTGGCAGCTGGGGCGCATCTGGCCACCTGGATCATCCTCCTTATTTATAACCAAAGGGTTGGGGTTCACAGGTTTTCAGAGGTACCCATTATATCAGTCTGAGTATTTGATAAATGTGTATGAATGTGACATATAACACACATAGAAATCATATCTCATGTTTGAACATTTCTGTCAGTTTTAACTAAAGCGTAGCCTCAACAAAGATTCGAAAGATGCTGATGCATCATTTATTTTCAGACAGTATTAAGATTTAAGCTGGTTAATAAGGGTTATGGTAAAAAATCTGTATGTAAGTGTGAACCAACGAGTTGTAGATTTTAATTCTGCAGCACCAAAACGGGATAACAGAGAAAGACAGGGGGAAAGTGAGAGCTGTTGCACTCGACTTGTTTTTAAAAGCACATTAGTGTTTCTAAGCTGGTTTGCCTCTTCTAACGTTCAAACATGCATGTGGGAATTGTTGTATATACAAATGTTAAGTATGACATGGTTATTGGCGCAGCTGGTTTCTAAAGGAAGGTTGCTAGCACCATCTGGTGGTCGATAAAAGAACAGCCTAAAAAAGAGTGAACAAATACCTGACCTTCTGTACCTGCAGTCTGTCAAACTCCTGCATAAAATTATCTTTGTAGGTTTCCAGTCAAAGCTGCAATTTTTCAGTCTTCTTTTCCACCTGAGTATAAAAAAACTTCAACCTTGATTATTCCTGCCTGGCTCAAAAAGACGAGGTCGCACTAATATAAAAATGGAAAGTAACATATTATCAATGATTTATTTATGCATTCAATCGATCAGACGTGTTATATTACCCTGAAGCACACACATGCAGCAGAGGCAAGTATGAATCTATCCTTTCATTTTGTGTAGGGAGAGGAGGATCGACCAGGAAGCCAGGATGAAGACTGGAAGCAGTATGGATAAAGTCTGGATTGAAATCTGTAACCCAACTGAGAACGATAAAGGCAAATACACCCTGGAGATGTTTGATGGCGAACAGACACACAAACGATACCTTGACCTCTCTGCACAAGGTGGGCTTGATTTAAAGAATCTAAAATGTCAGATTAAAGACGATTTTAAGAGCAGAGTTGTTGTTCTAAATCTTGGTTGTTATATCTACAGCCCTTGCTGATGCCTTGCTAGAGTACCAGAGGTTGAAGTAAGTGCTGCATTAGAAGCAGTATTTGATGCATGGCTTGCTGTGACACTAACAGAAACACCTTGAAGTCAGAGGCAAGTGGTACCAGCCCATTGGTAGAAAACGATTCATTACAAACATCTTGGCGCAGCTGTATATGTGTCCTGACCTGTCACATCGATTTGACCCTTTGTTTTCCTCCCTCAGGCAGGAGGCTATTGCTGAGAAAAGTGAGTCACAGGTTATGTGTTGTTTGTGTCCACAACAACGATTAAAGAATTCTTAGTGAGGGTGTCAGCAGGGAGTTATGGCGTGTGTTTTGTTTTCAGACCGGGCCAAGGTGACAAAAGGTCTTCCTGATGTGGTAGCCATTATGGAGGGAAAGGTATTACATCACCTATTAGTCTCATATTGCATCATAATTACACTATGCAGTGCTGTAACCGTCTTTTCTCAGCTCTGTCCTCACTTATCTTTTGAGTCCTTCTCTTCCTCTCCTCAGTCTCTGTGTCTGACCTGCTTCATCGACGGTGCACCTTCTCCAGAGATCTCCTGGCTAAGAAACGACAAAGAGATTGTTGATGAGACCCAGTTTACCATCACCAAGGAGCCAAAATGCAGCACCATCACTATCCACAACGTCAACATGGCCGATTCTGGAAAATACAGCATCTTTGTGCGCAACAAGTGTGGATCTGAAACTGTTGATGTGACAGTGAGTGTTTACAAGCTCGGGGATAAGCCTCCAGCAAACGCTGTGGACATGGGTTACAACTGAACAAGAAGTTAGAAAGACATGTAGTGCACGGTTTGATGGTTTTACTGTAAACCTGCACAGATAGATAGAAGAGAAGATGGTTTGATGGTAGATAGTGCTTCCTTTAGTAATAATAACAGTCGTTTTTTGGGTTTGCAAAAGTAAATGGCGCCCTCTTTTGGTATAAAATGGTATTATATGTGACCGCTGGTAAAAGTGTAAACAAAACAGATTGTTAGTTCATACATTTCTAATCGGTTTAATACTGAACAATGATTACTTGATTCATGATTAATCATTAACATCCCTATATGTTACAATACACTACATTTTCCCCTTGGGACTTAAAGTGCTGCCAAACATTCAACTGACTCCACTCAAATCAATAAATAAAAACAATAGAAAAACAGATCCATGTGTAAACAGAAAGGTACATACCAATGCAAAACAACACAACATATATTAGACATTACCCATATTGTACAAGAGCTACAAAAACAGCATGAGAGATAAGAAAGGTAAGAGAATATCAAAACATAGGAACACACATGACGCTATATAGGCATAAATGTACAGTAAAGTGTGGAAAATACTGTAAAATTAAAAAACAGTCATGTCAAAAACCAAGTTCCTCTCTTTTTTCTTTTTTTATAAACCAGACAACACACAGGCAGTTTGCTGACTTTGATTTTTCTCTTCTTGTGCTGTTGCGTTTCATATGATTGTTTTTTTTTTGTTTTTTGTTAAATGTTGCTTGTGGCCTTGGAGCCGTCAAACAAAAGTTATGGTGTGAGCATGCACTAAAAGGTCTGTCAGGTCTGAAACTGTAAACACTAAAGATACGGGACTGAAGAGGTTTAGGTGAAAATGTGTTGTTTGAGTTTGAATTTAATAAAGGAATTTCAAATGACTTCCCTTTTTTAAGAACTTTCAAAAAACATTATTTTTTTTCATCTCATGCAGCAAAAAATAAATCCCAGATTGTGTCTTTCAGTGCTAAACAAACAGTCCGTAGTGTCATTAACCCTACTCCCGGGCCCCGCTCAGTCAGGAGGATTCACCAGGTTCAACGGCACACAGCAGAGAGGTTGCAGACGTGTGTGAAGTTCAGTTTCAAATTAATGTTCAACTTATTCAGCTTCTTTTTTTTTTTTTACAGATGCTCTCATCATTTCGTCGTGTCACCAGACACAATTTAAAAAGAATTGACACATTTAGTATCCAGGCAAACTTCACCATCGCCCTTTTCAAAGACAGACGTTCCAAGGTCGAACTATGTTAAACATAGAAATTAATAAAAAGGAGCAAATACTCTATGATAAAAGCAACATGAAAAAGGAAAAAATCCTAAGAGCAGCCAAGAGTTAAAACAATATAACTGAACAATATCAATCTTTATTTGTATAGCGCCAATTCATAACTTTGTTTTCTCAAGAGAGAGAGTCACTCATGGTTCAACTGAAAGCTCCTGCAGCCACATGTCCGATGTGTCCATGGCCAAGACACTTAACCCCAAGATGCTTCCGCTGCTTTGTTAGCAGCGTATAAATGTGTATGAATGGGATTAGTTCCTTCTGATGGACACTTAACATAGCAGCCTCTGCCATCAGTGTGTGAACGTGAAGGTGTAAAAGAGCGCTGAGTAGTCAGAAGACAAAAAAAGTGCTATAAAAGCTCAAGTCCATTTAACATTTGCACATTAAGTTAGTGGGTTACAGATAAAAGTTAAGATAGAACAGCAGTGACGTTTTTTGACATTCATCAGTTAGTATTGTAAATGTTTTACTACGCTTCACTAAAAAGTTGGTTTTCCTTGTTTAAGAACTGTAGAATCCATCCAACCATTGTAACATCTACATACCGTATCAGAGGAACTGCATTTTTATTTGTACTCTCTATACTGCTTTCTTAAACATTCAATAGCTGCATATGGTGCCTTATGAAAAAAGACTACAAAAATATGATGAGGGATTATCTGAGCAGTGAATGCACATTGCAAGGGGGTGATCGATGTTGCTTTATTGGTGAATGTCATCTGCATTACATTTTTTATTCTCTCTCGTGAATCGTTTTTGTGCTAGTAATCGGCGAGGACACCTTGATAATTTTTTTTTTTTCATGTCATTGGAAAAATTCCAGATAAATGAAAGGTTAAATAAATAAAGAGAAAAAAAAGTCTGAATCTAATAAATGACAGATTTTAGTCCTGAAGGTTGCAATCTGCAGATTCACTCTCAACCCTGAAGTTAATGAAAGTGAGTGTTGTACATGAAGAAATCTGTACATATAACTTATCAATTAAGCATTACAACAAACGTGACCAGAAACAGAAGGTCTCATTTCATTTGTGTTTGAAACTGAGATTTGGTCAAACAGGAGTAAGTGAACTCCAGGTTGTTCAAACAGCAGCGATTACTTCACAGAGCTTTGTTACTCATTAGACACGATGCTGAGACCCCACCTGCCTTCTAGTATAAGAAGTGCAGTGCTACAGTCTCATCCCTCACATTGTGTTGAGCTTCACACAGCTGTCACAGCCTCCCCCCTCGGTGAAGGAGAATCCAGATCTTCAAGAAAAAAAATGGCCTTTAACGGAACATGGCAGGTGTACTCTCAGGAGAACTATGAGGAGTTCCTCAAGGCAATGGGTGGGTGAGAACCGAGACGTCTGTCAGTCTTTGCTTGTACGCTTTTATACTGTGACGGAATTAACAAAAAACATATGTGCATTACTTACAGAACTTCCTCCAGAAGTCATCAAGATGGCCAAAGACATCAAGCCGATTACAGAGATCAAGCAGAGCGGCAATGACTTTACTGTCACCTCAAAGACCCCCGGAAAGACTGTGACCAACTCCTTTACCATCGGCAAGGAGGCTGACATCACCACCATGGACGGCAAGAAGATCAAGGTCTGAAATCCTAATCTACTTTTCTTTTGCAAATCACATAGACGCTATAAATGTTTAAATTAGTGTCATTTTGATCAAGACATTTTGATTTTATGCTTTGTGATAGAACGAGCCTGCAAGTGCACACTGTCTAATATTTGTGTCTTATGGCTCCATGCCTGATGTTTTGGGTTGTCTCCTCCTCTGACCATCAGTGTGTTGTCAATATGGAGGGTGGCAAGCTGGTCTGCAACACCGGCAAGACCTCCCACATCCAGGAGATCAAGGGAGGAGAGATGATTGAGGTACAGCACAAGTGACCTGAATGTACTCACTCTGTCAAAATTGTATCAAAAGCTGGAAGTAATTGCAAAACATGTGTTTCCTTTTCTATTATTCCTCGACAGACTATGACAATGGGCTCAGCAACTCTGATCAGGAAGAGCAAGAAGATGTAACCTTGGCTGTGAAGAAACCAATGTCTATTTAAATAAAAGTGTTGCTTAATAAAAAAAAAAAGTTTTCATCGTCATTTTGGGGGAAACCTGTGCATGGCTCTCTTTGCAGAATCCTATACTCAAATAATGACCCAAATACTGATGTTCTATCTTAAATTGTGACTTTTCCTATAAAAAAAAAAATAGTGACTAAATATGTTCAAGGAATAACACAGAGTCACAACATTATGTGAAATTCATCCCAACTATTGACATAGTATCTTGTTATGTAAAGATCAAGTGGCAACCTGCAGTCCTGAAAAATGAAGTAAATGTGGAAGAGCAAAATCCTGCAGAGCGTTGAGTGAGCGCTTGAGGGTGGCTAAGCCAAAATTACAGCATGAGAGCCAAAAAAGTCGAAAACATGTTTGCAGCGTGGTACAAAAAGCCAAATAGGTGTGATTAGTAATTGTCCTCATGGGCACACACTGTAGAGGGGGTGATTTATTTATAAACGGCTCCGTTTTGATTTTATGAACGATGTAATCCATAGTTAGGCGTGTATCTGACCTGATTGACAGGTGGGTGCAATGTAACGGTTCGTCAAGAGGCTTAAAACCCGCCTCAGCTCCAGCTCTCAGCCTGTCGTTAGGTCAACTGAAAGTGAGGCTGAGACAGGATTTCCAACATGGCGGCTGCTGCCGATGAGCCTCCTGCCGCACCAGATGGGTGACGTCACTCAGGCTTCGTCCATTAACATTTACAGTCTATGCTTGAGATAACAATAATTCATTTTGGAAAATATTTTCTTTATATTAGATAGAACACTATACAGCAACCATTTCATCATACAACATTTCTGTTTACACCCTTTTAGATTTAGTTTCTCTTATTTGTGGGTTACTTAGTAAATATTTGGTTAAAAACTTTTAATTTTTGAGGTATGAAGTTTCTAATTTGAAAAAGTTTACAATTATCAGTGAAATGATGTCCAATAGCTTTAAACGTCTCGTTATTTTTTGCATTATTTAGTGTGAATCTGAGAAAGTAGTACCTATTCTGAGAGCTTTTTTCATCATTTTTAAATACACCCGCAACACCTTTCTTATGAGGTAGGCTCCTAATTTATTAATCTGAGATACTTAATCATTGTTTAGAGATAATTTAGTCATAGTGTGCAAATGTTTCTCATTGTTTTGAGAATTAGAGTCATGATAATGTCTTAGCAACTTGTTATTATTCACACTTGTCAGAAATTGGCTTCAAACACGGCAGATACTTTGCAACATTATGTTAACTGATTGCAATACCAACACAACTTTCCAGTGCTCACCCTTGTGGCTCTGCACGCGGAGCATGCGCAGTGCGAAGAGAACGCGTATCACTTAGTATGTGTGTGTATAAAGAACCAAGAACCAGTTTGTCTGTAAAACTGAGTTTCGTAAACATCACCCGCGACTCCGGTAGCCTAATTAGTGATGTCTGTCCTGCAGGCACGGAGGTACAATCGAGCTAGCGCGATGCTAATCATTAGAAACCACTGTGTCATCACACAAACATGCAGGTGACGTCAACGTTACGTACCCAGAGGCGAGGGGGGTTGGTCATTTCTACCTGCCTATTCTTACAGAAAACCACTAATAGCCGTCATTAAACACATTCACCTGCGTAGGGATCTTGAATACAATGTGCTGACAGACAATAATAGACTCCTGTTTCTTTGTATAGGTAACTCACATGTTAATAAATTAAGCCTACAGTCAGCTTTAAAGTCCAAGAGTTAACTTCTCCTCAAACTTGTAGGTCTTATATTTCCTTAATCAAAGTTTGATAATTTAGGCCTTACATAATGTGTTGCTAGACAAGCTGTACTAACAGCTTTCTGAAGAGTTTTATCAGCAGACTGCTTATTTAGCTCAGAGAAAGAACTAGAGCAGTTTATTGGCAGGCCTACTTTACCCAAATTCAGAACAGTTGTCCGTTTACAAAAAAAAATACCTAAAAATAATTATAGGCTTTGTATCCGACCCAGGTCAAAACCTTTGCTCCATTAACCATCTTACATTCTTTCAAACCATGTTTTGACACAGTGCCATATAGCCTCGATATTTAACCCCTCAACCTCAATTAAAAAGAATAAGGATAAATAAATTGTGGTATCAGCTGGCATCAACCATGGCATTCAAATCTCAGTAGAAGTCAAGAAGTCAATCATTACTGTTAGCTATCAAACAGTACAGGTGGATTGTAATTTTGTGTGTACAGGTTAAAGATACTAGTTTCTCACACTCAATACCAC